AGTCTTGATTTGCTTTATTCAGCATTCTGTCAGCATTTAGTATCCTCTTCTCCCCACTAATGCAGATGGATCTAACTTTCAGTCTTAACTGCACTTTAGATGGCTGGCTGTTTGGGGAGCCTCCCCCCACCCAACCCTTCAGACAAGGAGAGGGGAAAGTGATTCACCTCTTCTAACACTCGAGTCTCTTGCTGTCCATGCTCTGCCCTGTGGTCAGAGACCAGAGTGCTGATCCTCTCAAAAGTTACTAAATCAGCCGACATGCACAGTATGTGGGTATACGAGAAGGGAAAAGTCAGGGTCTGTCTTCATGAATAGTCTAGTTAGAGGAGACTTAGAAAATAAGAGGGGCCGGCCTTGTGGTGTAGTGGTTAAGTTCACATGCTCCCCTTTGGCAGCCTGAGGTTTGCAGGTTTGAATTCCGTGTGTGGACCTACACACCACTCATCAAGCCATGCTGTGGTGGCGTCCCACATACAAAAATAGAGGAAGATGGGCACAGATGTTAGCTCAGTGCCAGTCTTCCTCACCAAAAAAAAAGGAAGACATGAGCACACAGTGTGATGTGACTGCCACATGTGGGTTACTCTCGATTTTAAGTTGCCACATGTTCATAGAAGGGGGAGATTATCCAGGACTTGATTATTTGGCAGAATCACTTGAGGGTGGACCTTGAAAAATAAGGATTTGAATAATGAGGGAATAGGGAGTCATTTTTGGAACCTAGGAAAAGGGCAGATCTAAAGCCTGGAAGAAAGAAAAAACTATTTGGGCGTTAATGAGAGATCATGGCTGGTGTGGCCACTTTTCTTATTAGAGTTAGATTGGAGAGGTGGGTTTGGAAAGTAAAATACAAGTGGCGAGTGGTTAGTGTGATTTTAGGAAGTGATGAGCAAGGGGGACTATAGAAACTTACAGGGTGGACCCTGTAACTTTTGTTGTGGGCATGAGGTGATAAATCCTGAACTAGGGTACAAGAGAGAGGGATGGAAAGGAAAGGACTGATGGGAAGAGCTAGGTGTGGGAGTTGGAGAGAAAGAAGAGAATGATCAGATGTATCCAGTTCCAGGGGGAACACGAAGAGCTGTTTGGTTAAGACTTACTGAGTTTGGATAACTATTCTTGGGAAAATATTTTCTGGCCAAGAGAATACTGGACCTCAAGTACAAGGTTTATAGTGGAAGTGAAGGTTTGGTCTGGAGAGAGTTGCAGAGGCGCTGTTAGGGGACATCTCCAAATTAGAGATTAAGGAACTCCCCCTTAATGAAATTTTAGGGGAAAAAAAATGAGTCTTCTGCCAAGCACCTGAGTAAGATGTTAAATGTAAAGTAATTTTACGAATTCCATGAAGCAGATCTATCAGAATGGGGAGCCAGGCTTCAAGTCCACTTACTAATGGTGTGACCTTGGACAAGCTACTTAGCCTCTTGGTACCTGTTTCCTCCTCTGTAAATGAAGGTGATAAAAAGGACTTACCTTAATAACAAGGTTATTAAGGGGTTAGATATGTAAATAATTCATAAAGTGCTTTAAATTTTTTTTGTTCCGGGGCCAAGCGGTTAAGTGCACGCACTCTGCTGCGGCGGCCTGGGGTTCGCTGGTTCAGATCCCGGGCGTGCACCAACATACCGCTTGGCATGCCATGCTGTGGCGGCGTCCCATATAAAGTGGAGGAAGATGGGCACAGATGTTAGCCCAGGGCCAGTCTTCCTCATCAAAAAAAAAAAAAAGGAGGATTGGCAGATGTTAGCTCAGGGCTGATCTTCCTCACAAAAAAAAAAAAAATGAAAAAAAATTTTTTTGTTCCATGTATCGTGTTACACTCTACACTTGACACTTAAAAATTTTCACTTCACTAGATGAAATAGTACATAAAATATATAGGAATGTTACTTATAAAATAAATACCAAAATTTTGCATTTCAAGTTTTTAATCACTAATTTCATTATGGATAGCTCAGATTCTCCAAAATAACATCCATCCATGGGCACAAATTTCATTTCTTCCCTCAATATACATACTGTGTAGTGGAATTAATAATAATGCACATAAATATGGGCAAAAGAATGCCCCTCCTCTAAAAAAGAGCAGCATAGAAGTGGAGTGCAAAACCGAAAAAAAAGTAACATATTTACATGGTACAGTATATGAGTAACCCAAAGCCTGCAAAATGGAATTTCATTAACAGAATTTTTATTCATAAGCAACTTATTACTTACAAATCATGCACTAATGTGGTACATAATGAGCACCATAGAAACGTTTTTAAAAAGTAGTGATTCTTCTCCACACTTCCTAACAAGGAAACTTAAGACTTAGAGAACACTAACCTGCCCATGGTCACCCAGCCTGTAGAGGGCTGTTCCTAGGATGATGGCCCTTGTGTATCTGATTCCAGTGTCGGGCATTCTCCCTAATCTATAGAATGTGGACAAGATACCCAAAAGATGAGTCTAGAGGGGCATGATAGGACTGTTTTAGGAACACATGAGACATCTTAGGGAAGATGGTCAGCACTACAATGGAAAGAATGAAAACCAGGAAAGGGCCCTGTGGCCATACAGGACTCAAAGGAGGCCTGGGAATGTAAGAAGTTGTGTGGCCAGTGCTGAATGCAACAACTGAGATACTTGCACTAGCTGTTCTAGGGCAGTGGTTCTCAGTGTCCTTGACCAGCAGCGTGAGCGTCACCTGGGAGTTCGTTAGGTGCCAGGAGAGAAAGGGTGGGGGGTCACCTTTAGATTGAGTGATTAGGGAAGACTTCTTGGAGGAAGTAACATTAAAGCTAACGCCTGAAGGTGAAGAAGGTACCATCCAGATGAGGGGGAAAGAAGAGCCTTCTGGGAAGGGACCAGAATGTGCAGAAGCTAGAGAGAGCGACGTGGTCAAGGAACATGGCTTGAGCTTAAGAGCTTGAGCAAGGGCTAGAATGCACAGGGCCTTATAAGCCTGTGGGATGGGGAGTTGGGATATGATCCTAGCAGCAACGAGAGGCCATTGGTGGTATTTATGCAGGAGTGTGCATTGATCTGGTTTTCATTTTTACAAACTTACTCCAGCTACTGGGTGAAGGATAGTGGGTCAGGGGAGATAGAGAGGAGATGCCAGGAGAAGAGTTGGATGTTACCATGGAAAAGAGATAACCATTCCTCCTCGAAGAACAGAAGGAAGACAGCGTAGACTTGGATGTTTGCAGGTGTAGAGAAGGGGGAATGGTCCTCACATTGGATGGGGCTCTTTCTCAGGAGTTTTGGTGCCAGAGTCAGGAAGTTTGCCAAGCAGCGGTAACGTTGAGTCAGTGCTAATAGTTTGTACTGGGCCAAGATGATAGGATTTCTTGATTTTTCAACGTTACGTTTACTGCCTGGGAGCAGGAATGGGAGAAATAGAATAATGATGATTCAGAATTGGAGAATGAACTGGTGTGCTTGGGGAAGGGTTGACAGAGAACGTCTAAAGTTGAAAGGGGATTTTGGGGGGAAAAAAGCAGAAAGGAAGAAGAGACCAATTGGAAACGGGGGAGAGAAGTGCCTGCAGGGCTTGGTGAAGAAACAAAACTGGGTCATTGGGCCTGGTGGAGTGGAGGAGATGCTCAGCCTCTCCCTCCCTGCCAAAAAAAAAGGGAAATCTTTTCTTTAAGTAACAGGTTACTTTGAATTTTCATAGAAAATTAGAAAAATGGTTGAATTCATTTTTAAATTAAAATAGAAAAACCTTTCAGTTCTCTGTAAGGGTTCCTGTGGCCTGTTGCAGGAGACAGAGGGAAGGTGAGAAGCAGGCAGTAGATGGAACCAGAAGGAAAGCAACACAAGTTAAAGAATGACCGCTAGGTTGTGCCATTGGTCTGTTTTTTTCACTTAAGCTGTGTACTTCATTGGTATTTCACCTCTTAGCTTGGCCCTTAGATTACATCCTCTTCTCAGGTCGTCTCCCAAGTGCACAAAGCAACAACAGGCTGACTGACTGAACACCCCCTCCTGGTACTGCCCAAAAGGAGGATAAATTAACCCACTGGCCTTACTAAATGTAAATGAGGCCTGTGAAACTTGGGAAGTTGTTGCCCTCATGTGGCCGATCCTGGAAGTAACAGCCAAGGTACTTGTCTTCTAGGGCCGTCTTTTCAGTGTTTTCCAGATCAGCATCAGCGACACCTGAGAAGTTAGAAATGCAAAATCTCAGAATCCAGATCTGCTGAATCAGAAATTTTGCTGGACCCCTCCCCCAATCTGTCTCTTAACAAGCCTTTCAGATGATTCTGATGAATGCTAAAAGGTTGAAAACCACTCTTCTCAAACAACTCGTGCTCCAGTATCCCCATTGTCCCCCAAAATCTGATTATGCTCCTAATTTCTATGTTCAAGGATAGCAGAACTTCAAGTTAATCCTCTCTCTCCATGTTCTGGTCTCCAAAACCTCCTGTCTCCTCAATCTCATTCCATCAAGTAGGCCCTCAATTTAATACTCGTCCTTAAGAACCTGACCTCTTCTAGCAACAGGCCTGTTTTCGTCTACTCTGCAGAGCCACTTTTTTGGGAAGAGCAGTCTGTTTCCCTATTCTTGCTTCTCACTTTCTCCGCTGGAACTGCTGTTTTTCTCTCCTTCCCCAGAAACTGCTCTTGGATTTTTCCTTTCCCACCCACCCTCACTTAAATTCCTTTCCCTAACCAACTCCACGGGTAGGATGGTAGGTTCATCTAGAATTGATGTGCCCACACCACCTGTAGCTCCAGCCATCTGTGAAGAGCTCTGCTCCCCAAGGTCCCACTGCACGCTCAAATGTTGATCCACAGGATCTACTGTGTCCTATGGTGTTTTGTATTGAATATTCCTTCACCAGTATTTCACTTAATACTAACACTATGACTTCAAGGTAGAACAAGTGTCAGCTCCACTCAAAGGACTGAAAACAGATTCCACAAGGGTTTGTATTAATGCACCTTAAACAGCTGATAATGGCTGGGCTTCGTTTTTTTAACAAAGAGTCCAAACACTCCAGGGGTTAAATAAGCTGCTTCTCTTTCCACTGTTTATTATTAATGTACAAAATATACAAAACCAAAAGAAAAAGAAAATACTCATCCTCAAATCCATTGTGGCTCTAACCCAAGACCCTGCACAAAACCCAACCAATCCACTGTTTTCATAGAAAACAACTGATGCCGAGACAGGTGAAGGAGAGGGCTGGGAAAGGGCAAGTCACGTTGAATCCACCCAGGAAGGAACCTGGGGGGATTTAGAAGTGGCTGACAGGAAGGGAGCTGGAGGCCTCACACCAACACGGTTCCGGGTGGGGGCCAGGAGCGCGCTAGCTCCCAAAGGCAGTGCATGTAGTGTGACTGTCGGGCCCAGCATGCCGGGCTTAAGTTGATGAAAAGCTGGTCTCACTGAAGTGTTTTACAGTTTCCAGAATGAGCTGTAGGCAAGGGTGGACCACACCACTGGCCTCACCTATGCCAGCTAAAACTTCCACTCGATGCCGATGTAAATTGGCCATCACCGAACCTAGCAGACCCATGATGCAGACTTCGGTGGTCACGGAAGGTTGCAAAGTCTTACTTGAGAAAGGACTCAGAATGTAAAGCCTGTCGGGAGAGGAGTGGGGAATGATGTGTTCCAGAACTCAAATCCAGCCTGATTGAGCCCTCTCAGTGCAATGGGATATATAATACCCCTTTTACCATCTCCCCACCCCAGGAGGAATAATGAACTTGGCTGGGATGATTTCATAAGTGCAGCTGATCCCATGTCAGTTCTGTGTGCACGTGGAAGACCCACGATAGGAGAGTAGAGGTGTTTTCCAGGATAACCAGCTTTAGGTTCTCAGGCATAAAGGGTAATACTGGAAAGGGGTTTGGAGTTACAGGGCAAATCTCCTCAAAAAGTGAAGCCAAATGGGTCTCCTCTTCAGCAGTCCAAGGTACAGAATGTGTCCAGTCTCTCTCCTCCCCAGACTGGAGGAAAATATGTACATCAATGCGCACCAGTGATCAGAAAACCCCCAGGAACCCAAGCAGGTGGGAACTGAGGGGGCCGGCTCCTCATCAGCTGGGGAAAGGGAAAAATGGGCCTCACAGAAGCCATAAGAGGGTGGAAGGATCAAGGCTGCAGTCCACAGGGATGTGTGTGTGGGCGGGGCAGGCAGGTGGGCCCTAGGGCAGGGGGGGCCCATTGACACCCGGGTGGTAGAAGGCACAGTTGTTCTCATAGCGGCAGTTGCCCTTCATCATGAAATGTCGGCAAACAGGGCGGTTTGACATGTCTGTGGGAATGATGGTGGAATGGTTAGACAGGAAACGGCTAAGAGGTCAATGCCACCTTCACCCCACCTCCCCGTCATGGCATCCCAGAACTTGCAGAGAGACACTCTTGGGGATTTGGGGGAAGGGCAAAGGGCATGAACTGACACACATGCTGGGAACGGGGCGACCTCAGCTTCTGCCTAGCATACAGGGATAGTGCTGCTCCCCAGAGACTAGTATGGGACACCAAAAGCCATATTGGGGGCAGGGAGCATCCTTACCTCCTCCATGGCTATGGCCTCCATCGTGCCCTCGGTGGCCCCCTCCTCCATGGCCAGGGCCATCATGGCCGCGGTGCTCATGAGGGGGTGGCCCTCGATGGTCGTGGCCTCGGTGACCAGGGACATCATGAGGCCGGTGGCCGTGGGGCCCCCCATGTCCAGGACCTTCATGGGGGCGATGTCCACCACTTCCACCCATGCTCCCGCCAGGACCTTCATGGGGGCGATGTCCACCACCAGCACCCATTCCTCCGCCAGGGCCTTCATGGGGGCGATGTCCACTGCCTCCACCCATGCCACTGCCGGGGCCTTCATGAGGACGATGGCCACTGCCACTGCCCATACCACCGCCAGGGCCTTCATGGGGACGGTGTCCCCCACCTCCACCCATGCTACTGCCAGGGCCTTCGTGGGGGCGATGTCCACCACCCATGCCACTGCCAGGGCCTTCATGAGGACGATGTCCACTGCTGCTGCTCATGCCTCCACCAGGGCCTTCATGGGGACGATGCCCACCACCTCCAACCATGCCCCCACCAGGGCCCCCTCGTCCATTTGGGGGTCCTCCTCCAGAGCGACCTCCTCTGGCCCCTCGGAATGGAGGAGGAGGAGGAGGTTCATTTCCTCCTCGGCCACCACGGCCTCTATGGTATGGTCCAGGACCAGGTCCTGGACCCCCCCGCATCGGGCCACCCCTCATGGGGTCACCCGGGCCATCCCAGAAGGGATCACCCCCCCGGGGAGGGGGTGGGGGACCTAGGAGACGTGGACCCACTGGCCCACCAGGGCCCCCAGGGCCTCCATGTGGACCTGTTAGGGGAAAACAGAGAGAGAATATTAGCTACCTGTTTAGACTCAGGGACTGCCACCTCCCAATGTCAACTACCTCCCACTTTTTGGTCAATCCTATACTATTACTGGGCCAAAATTAAGCAGATAAGCCCATTCCAACTGCTCACTCACCACCTACCTGACATAGGTCCCCCAGGCCCAGGAGGAAAGTGCTGCATGCCCTTGGGGCCCCCAGGACCTCCCGGTGGGAAACCATTGGCTATTGGACCAGGGCCTAAGAGTCCGTGTGGCACTGTTAATAAAGAAAAGAGTAAAACAGTCAGCAAGAAGATTCTATAAGAGTGGCATGACTTCCCACTTAGGTGTCCCCAACTGACCCCCTCAGACCAACCTGGCAGAGCAATGCTCTCTCTGTCCAGTCTTCCCCTCCCACGTCTTGCCGCCTAGTGGCAACACCCCTGCTCTTCAGGGTCTGTGAACTCTGCTTCCCCCAACTCCACCGCAGGCTTCCTCCCCCAGGCCCCGGGGCTGGCCCTGATGATTACCCAGCATCTGCTTGATCTTATCTGAATAGTCTGGTTGCTTCAGCAGTTCCTCTGAGGGATGACTATTTGGGCTACCCTGTGAGGCAAGTCAATAGAGAGCAAGATCAATAGAGAGCAGCAAGGATAACCACCAGCAGAGAAAGGGAAAGCCAAAAGAGGAGGGAAGCAGGAAGATGAGGAGGACTGGGATAAAGAAAGGGAGGTTCCAGAGAAAGTGGCAAAGAGGAAGTAGGGCTCATACCATGATGGAGGTGAGGATCTCCTGGACATTGATGCCTCCTCCTCCAGGACCCTGGGGGCTCTTCCCAGCACCCATGCTTCCCATAAGATTCGCCAGAACAGGAGGCAACTTGGAGCCACCTGCCCCGTCAGGTGAGCCTCCGGCCCCCCCAGGCTCCAGGGCCTCCACATATGGGGTCTCATCCATGGAACACTCCTGAAAGAACAGGAAACAATCAGGACTAACTAAAAGAATGAAGAGAGTCTCACATAAACAATTCATTAAAGCCAATTACAACCTCCACTGCCACGTAACACCCACTCACCTCATCTAGGGGGATGAGTTTCGGGGGTATAGGTTCATAGGGCTCAGGATCAGGCTCATGAGGACTATGAGGAATGCCGTAGGCGATGGAAAAAACAAGAATGACAGTCAAATTATTTATTCAGGCCCTCAACTTTCTTCCTTAACTCCACCCCCTTCTTAGTTACCCCAGGGCACATTCCCCTCAGGGGTCTAAGTGCTCAACAGCCCAGGGCGTGAACCTCGCTCTACTCACCTTTCCTTATTCAGGAAGAGCTCCTGAAGGATTCCTTTCTCCCGCTCAGCCTGGATGTATCGCTCCTGGCTGTTGCTTCCAGGGGTGACAAGAGGTGAGGGCAGAACCAGGGGCCGGGGGCACACCCAGGGTACCTTCTCCTCCATGTTGTCATGGCTCAGACGCCGGGCTGTCTCAAATGCATGTCGGTCTGACAGTATCTCTCGCTTAGCTGCTTCGCCAAAGTCTTTGATCTTATTCACATTGACTATTGGCAAGGAGAGAAAAAGCAAGAATGTAAGAACAACCAAGTCCTTTTTAAACTCTCTGTACCCACCTATTATATGGGAAATGTGACCTCTTACCTCGTTCAGTTTCATCCAGTTCAAAATAGAAATATTCTCTCAGTTTGCCCTCCTCAGGCCACGTCACAGTTTTCCTCTTCCTGCCTTTCCGGGTCAGCTGGCTAGGATCTCCAGGACTCTCCACTGGCTTTGCATCCAGAGCTCCCGGCTCCAAAGAGGCTGTAACGCAGGAGAGGTTTTAGACCCAGGTCCTTCCTTTCAGAAAACCTCCCAGCTTGAACCAGTTGTGAGACTTACCTGTATCCATGAGCTCTGGGACTTCAACAGGGGGAACTGGGGTCCCTGGACGGTCTGTATCCATGGCCTCAGAAGGAGGTGCTGGTTCTGGGGAAGAAGGTTTGGCTGTGCTTGGTTCTATGCTTGTTTTCCCTTCAAATGGGCTTGGCTATTATGAAAGAAAAAGAAGTTAATGAGCTGACAGGAAAGGCAAGGCAGTAAGTCCAGGGTCCTAGGCAACATCCCCCAATGCTCCTAAAGTACTCCGTCTCTAACACTGCCCCCTTGCCGCCAGTCTACATCTGAGACCAACTCCTCTTGTCCTCCCCAACTGCTCTGAGCTGCTGGGCTCTTCCTTCTACTTTACCTTTTATACCCTGTCACTAAAACCTATGGCCCAGGGCCCATACCTTGGCAGCTGTAGGTGACAGCACCTTCTTCTTCTTCTTAATTTTGATCCCCGGAACAGGGGCTGAATTGAGCGCATCCAGAAAGCCCAGGCCCTCCATAGCTACACAAGGAAAGAGCATAAAATGGAATCATTAGACCTCCTTCACAATCCCATTCCTATAGACAGAATCTGGGCAGGGCAGGACATGGGCCAATGGAGACCCTGCCTCAACTTCGGACATAATAAACTCAAGGTCACCAGGTAGCATAGGCAGGAGGACTCATACAAGAAATTCTCGTTGTTATTCTATCTTTTTTTTAACGGCAAGCAAGCCATAGCCCTGGACGTGAATTCGAGCTCAGGAGACTGACAGAGCCAGCCCTGTTTTTTTTTTTTGTGAGGAAGACTGGCCCTGGGCTAACATCTGTGCCCATCTTCCTCCACTTTATATGGGACGCCGCCACAGCATGGCCTGACAAGCGGTGCACCGGTGCGCGCCCGGGTTTCAGAACCTGGGCCGCCAGCAGCGGAGCGCACACACTTAACCACTATGCCATGGGGCCGGCCCCAAAGCCAGCCCTGTTGACATGACAGATTATCCTGCCAACTGGGAGGGCCCCAACCAGCGAATGAATAGCACACCTCCCCACCTCATCTCTAAAATTACTCCTAAGTAATCCAAGAACGGGGAATTCCAGAGGCACAAAAATTAAAGGACACCAAGAAGTCAGACGAAAACAATCAAAGAGAGGGAAAAACAACTTCCCCCCTCCCAGGACATGTATTCCCATTAAGGGTCTTGCTCCCAATTCAAAGCACATCCCCCCACTTTAGACTCACGCTGTGGGGGGATGATCTTCACTTTGATCTCTTTGGTGGCGTTGGGTGTTGTGTTGAGTGGCTTGTATTTCTTCTCTGCAGTGGGGGCAGCATCTCCTGGAGCAGCTGCGGAGCTGTAAGAAGAGAAACTGTCAACACCGACTCAACCCCTTCTTTCTCCCTCGTGTCCCACACCCAGCCCATTTAGAAATTCAGAACATGGTCTATACCTCTGACGCTTGAGCGGGATGGGTTTGAGGTTATACTTGTCAGAAACCACCACTGCACTGGCATTCTTCTTCACAGGCACCAAAGATGGGGTCTCCAGCTCCAGTCCTGGGGGAAGAGACATTGTGTTGGGGTTGAACTCACTCCCCACCCTCTTGACTCTTCCTCCCTGTTCCCCCACTTCAATCTTCATCTAACCTTATATACCATCCCCTCAAAGCTTTGCCCACTAGTCATCCCTCTTCCACAGGCTTACCATATCATAAATACAACTATTCCACCACAAGGCCCTGGGTGTGCATATGCCCACAGATGCCCCAGGGGCCAGCAAACAGCCTTACCGGTGGAACGGAACTTGGCATGACTGGGTGCTGTGGTTCGAAGAGACTTGGGCTTCTCCTTCTTCTTCTCTGGGGCCTCCTCAGCCCGGGTTTCAGCCTTCACCTCAGTCAAGGGTCGCTCAGGAGGGGTGGTTCGACTCTTTCCCTCTTCTTTACGTTTTTTCTTATCTTTCTCTGTTGTGGAAAAACAAAGCAGAAAAGGATTTTGTTTAGGTAAAGAGAAAGACCATCACTCAGAGGTAAAGAAGGCTGAGGGCACTGAAGGCCACATCCCATTAACTATGAGGGATAAAGGACTAAGGAATTTACCAGCAGGCTGAGTACTGCTCTGGGAGCGGATGACAGCCATCCAGTCACTGACAAGGACTGAGGCCAATTTCCGGAGCTCTGCAGGTGAGAGAAAGGAGAAATGCCTAAATAATTTAAAATACTATTCTTCCAATAACAGAAAATAGAGATGTTTAAAAATATACTGTGAAAGTCTGGGTAATGGAAAAAGTAACCCAGAGTTTTAAGAAGAACATGAGATAGGCTTAAAAACCAAACTCTTAAAAAGAGAACAATGAACCACAGAGTTGTCTTCTATTCAGATAATTTTCAACCCTGACACCATCACAACACTAGGGGGTGAAAAGAACTAACACTTAATACAGAGGACGTTGTAAAGACTACATCACTGTGTTACATGTATCTCATGTGACTCTTACAATAACCTGAAGATTTTTAATCTTCCTTCACAAAGAAGCATAGAGATTACAGCCACAAGACTAGACAGCGGGGCAGGATGAGCCCAGTGCCTCTGCTCTTCCCCTAAATACTTGTTGAAAGAATAGAAACTAAACTCAGGAAAAAGGTAGGCATGGTTCAAATATTTGAAGGGCTAATAGATTTAAAAAGAAATAGTATTATTCTGCATTGTCTCTTTAAAGGCAAACTTAACGCAAAGTTTCAAGGAGGCAGATTTAGACTCACCTTACAAAAAAATTTTCTAGGCAACCTTTTTTCCTAGACTGCTGCTAGTGACAAGGGCTTTAAAAAAATCAATTAAGTGTGGCAAGTGTGAAAAAAAAGCTTAAAAACAAACTAGGGCGCAAGCCGGGTGGCGCAAGTGGTTAAGTGTGCGTGCTCCGCTGCGGCGGCCCAGGGTTCGCCGGTTTGGATCCCGGGCACGCACCGACGCACTGCTTGGCAAGCCATGCTGTGGCGGCGTTTTATTTATGTGGAGGAAGATGGGCACGGATGTTAGCCCAGGGCCAGTCTTCCTCAGCAAAAAAAGAGGAGGATTGGCAGATGTTAGCACAGGGCTGATCTCCTTACAAATAAACAAATAAATAAATAAAATAAAGACAAACTAATTTAGGGTTGTGGAAGCAGAGTTTATCTAGACAGAAAAGATGGTGAGAGAATTTAAAGATAAAGAACAGAATTTGTTTCTAAACATATGAGAAAAAGCTTTGTAGCTCTTTCCTTTTGTACTTGGCAAATTAACATCTCTTATCTGTGGCACCTCTCTTCTTGCCAACATCCCCACATATAGACTCATTTAATAATGAGATTGTCACAGAACTTTAAAACCTAACCTTTCAAAATAGTCACACAACTGGCAATTTCTGTACCTAAGGCAACATGAACCCTAATGCAGGAATATCCTAAAGCCTTTTTGGAGGAATTGATACTATGGTCCAGTAAGACTTAACTACAGTCAATAAGGAATGTGCACGTTTCAGTATCTAAAGGAAGTAGAGAGTAATAATTAAACCCATATTCATAAAAGGCAGCACAACGAAGCCAGGTGGAAAATAGGGAACAATATACCCAATGATGAAAAAACAAAAGATGGGCAATGATTTAATAGGATTCTCCTGTGTTCTGTGTTATACTACGAGTTATTATTAAAGATACTCTGAGATGTGGCAAAAATAGGTACTAAAAAGACCTAAAAACTGAGAATTAATACAACTAAAAAAAGGGAAAGCTAGGAAATGTTTTTCACTTGAATAATACTGTGAGTTAAAACAAAATTGGGATCCTTTATCTTGGAAAGGTGTTCCCAGAGTTTTCTCCGATAGCTAAAGGAACTTCAGATAAATTTACCCAGGCCTAGGTGCTCCCTCCATGCCAAAAAACCAAAGCCTCTTTGCAAAAAAGACCTAGCAACCCATTCCCTTTAGACACAGAGCAAGCCTGTATTTTGATCAGGGGATCATCTCTGCTAGAATACTGCTCACTTGTGGAATACTAGTGTCTTGTGCTCCTGGTTTATGCCTTGGGGAGGGATTAAGGAAATCTTTAATTTCCTTACTCTCTAAAGAAAAGGCTGTGAGTTTCTGGAGCCAGGCTTCGTCTTCTGGCCCTTGCCAGGAGTTTCAAAACCCTTTGTCTTAGAAAAGGTAAAAACCTGTTGCTATCAAAGCTATGATATACTCCAGGAGTCAGGATCATGCCATCTCTTACAGGAAGGTGTTTATTGGTAGAACCAGTATATCTATTGTTATGAAAATAGACACTGAAGGTCCCAGAATATACTATATTTAGAAAAACAGAAGTAAATAATGATAGACACTCTAGATGACACTATTTTCCCCAAAGAATTTTAAGGGTATGCGTTTTACACCAAGAGATCTTAAGAATTGGCTTCTAGGGCCGGCCCCGTGGCTTAGCGGTTAAGTGCGTGCACTCCGCTACTGGCGGCCCGGATTCGGATCCCGGCACGCACCGATGCACCACTTGTCCGGCCACGCTGAGGCCGTGTCCCACATACAGCAACTAGAGGGATGTGCAACTATGACATACAGCTATCTACTGGGGCTTTGGGGGGGAAAAAAAAAGAGGAGGATTGGCAATAGATGTTAGCACAGAGCTGGTCTTCCTCAGCAGAAAAAAAAAAAAAAGGAGGATTAGCAAGGATGTTAGCTCAGGGCTGATCTTCCTCACAAAAAAAAAAAGGAATTGGCTTCTAGTTAATGTATGGTACCTTATCTTACATTCAGTGGTAGAGAAATGGACAAATCCCATTCAGAATTGAGAACAGAAAAGAGGGGACAGGTTAGAGGAACTAAATTTTTAAAAGAAAGAGAAAAGCAAGGTGAGATAGAAAGAGGAAGGCAGGAGTGAAGGGACAATCCAAGGATGGGGAAAGAAACTAAGGTAATCGTAATTAAGTGGAAGTAATGGAGGACGGCCCAGGACACAGAGAAGGAGGGGCCCCTACCTTCATCCTCACTTGACTTGCTCAGTTGCTTCACCAGTTTGGCTGTGTTGTTCTATGAGAGATGGGGAGCAGCAGAAAGGTGAATGCCAGGAGGAAAATAAGCCCACTCAGAGCTAACAACCCCACAAACTCGCTCACAATCTCCTAATGGTCCCTTAACAGTAACTAACATTAATACACTACTTTACCTTTTACAAAACCCTTGTAGACATATCCTTAACTTAATCCTTACAACAACCCAGTTAGATAGGTATAATTACTCCCATTTTATAGATGAAAAAATTGAGGCTTAGATAAATGAAATGTCCCAAGACAGACACCTAATAAAGAGATAAATTCGAACCAAGTCTTCTGATTCCAAATTCCTATTTTTTCTACCATTCTACCTCAGAGGCCCAAGACTGCAGCCACATCAGAGTTGGTGTGAGTTTTGTATCTGTTAGGCTATACAAGAAAGAAGAACCAGGATTGTAAAGACTGAAGGTACCTGCTTGAGATGGTCCACAGTGAGCGGTAGGTGCTGCAGGGTCAATAGAATTTGCTGCAAGAGGGGAATGTTGTTGGTTGTCTTTGAATACGTAAGCCAATTGTTAAGAAGCTTGTAGCCACCAACGTCAATAAACCTGCAGGCAGGTAGGAGAGATTCTGTAAGGCCCTTCTTGAGTTTTGGAAGTACAACAGCCCATACTCCTAGTTCTCCATCAACAACCCAGGAACCCCATGCCTCACCTCCCCCACCTTCTAACTATGTCTTCCCATTCCAGCCACCCACATCCCCACTTACTTGACCAATATTTCTGGTGAACGGGTCTGCAGGAGAATGTTCAAGTAAGTGCATCGACTCACCATCTTTCGTGCTTCCTTCATCAGACTGTAAGAGATGAGTTAAGGTTAGCAATGGAGCAGCCAGAGAGCACCTCTTCTTTTAGCAGAAGAGTCTGCAATTTGTGGGAGTGCCTAGAGATGTCTGATGAGTTGGGACTTTCCTCGAGGGTGGGAGGGTCACGCAGGCCTCCAGGAGGACGGGATGGATCCAGAGTGAAATGGAAACCCATGGGAGGATGGAAGACAACTGAGGAGACACTGAAGTCTCTGATCTGGGGAGGACGAGCATCATTGCTTTCCTGACACACAAGGCACATTTAATTCTGCTTCCAAGCGAAGAGTCCTAGCCCTCAACAACCATTCCTCCTAGTCTTTTCAGGACTGGCTTAGTCATTTGCTTTCCCCTAGGAAACTTAAGGATCCCTGAAGGAAAATGACGTTTTGGGTACATGGAACGTGACCCAAAACAGAACCAAGAATTCTGTTACCTGGCTCCCCTGCTTGCTTCCTTCCTTTCAAAGTGTGACTCCCTTGGGACTGTGAATGTCCAAATATCCAGATTCCATTACGGCCAGGGACCAAGGGATCATCTTTTCCTATCACTTATGCCAAAATTATTGGATCTGAATCCTGTTCTATTGACCCTCCCTTTTCTCTCCAGGAACAGTCATTCCTGTCTGCCGTAAAAATTATAGGCATGTGACAACATACAACACCCTCTACTCACAATGAATCCAAAGAAGAGTACAGACTCACCTGAAGATCTTGGAAATCCCATCCACACTCTTGACTTCCCCATCTCGGGTAAGGAAGCTATCCAGGCCCTTGAGAAGCTCTTTGGGGTCTATGGGACCCGAACCCATGATCGAGGTTTCTAAGATGAGAGGACAAAACAAACCCACAGAATAAATGGGTGGCAAGGACAGTTCCACTATGCCCTCTAATAAATCTCATCTCTACATTTGACAAAATATAGTGACTACTTATACAATCTATATTAAATACACTCATTATTTTCTAGATAAGAAAAAGCAACAGAGATCATTGTTGCTAATGAAAAACTAGCCCTGGCAAGTTAAGCATGGTGTTAATACATGACTAAATGGGAAGAAAATTAGATTGGAGGACTGGAGCATCACAGCTTTCTCCCTCTCCCAGTTACTGCCTTCCTAGGACAGCTGAACTTCACAAGATCGTATTAGGGCTAAGATTCATCTTCCCATAACAAAATGCTCAACTCCCCAAGGCATTTTTGCTTATTGTTAGGTCCTCTTCTCGGCTGCTAATAAATCTGACTTGAAAAAAACTGTAGCTTTGTAAGAACAGGGCCAATCTTGAGTGCTCAGGCTAAATGTCTTCTAAGAGTCAATTCCTTATTATCTTAGCCCATTAAGAGTCATAATCACCACAAGTGGCAGGATATGTTCTGCTTGCACCAGTAGACAATCATCTAAAGTGGTAGGTGATAGGGAAGAAAACAAAACTTGAAAACAGAACCTTTCCCCCAGGGGAGTTGTGGGTAACTCCCAGAAATGAAGACAAATGGATACAAAGGGAATTAAGCAGGTCCTCCTAAGCCTTGAACAGAATGTCACTCATTAACCAAATACTGCACAACTTCTGTTTCAAAGTTAAGAGCAAGACTGGTTTGTGGTTTCAAAAGCAAGGATGGGAATCTCACCCCGTTCCCCTCAAAATCACACCATCCAACACCCCCCCAGGAAGGCCTGAAATTAGAAACCATGGAGCCAAAAAGAATGGAACAAATAAAGCTAGAAGCTGGAAAAATGCCAGTAAATGTTAAGTAGCTACCTTAGAGCAGGTTAGAAAAGAGTTAATTAAAAGCTAGACTGCTGTTGTGGGACAGAGAAGTGTGAAACAATGTCAAGGCCAGAACCCAAGTTCCAGAGAGGTCATTTAGAATCAATATGGTTCTGACTGGGATTTTTATCCACAATGCCTCTAAACACTGGCTTCTGAGAACCAACAAAGCAAGCCACCTTGTAAAATCTGCATTTGGGAAATAAGGCTAACAGTGGGTAGGAAGGTGGCAAAGAGAAAAACCCCTGCATCCTGCTTCTAGAAGAGAGAACAGACATGATCCCAGCAGAAGGCTGGGCAAACCAGTGTTTTACAAAGATGACTATACTTTGCACAAAAAAGAGAACAGGTTTCTTATAAAGTAAATTAGTTCTATTTGTTCTCAGACAAACCAAAAAAGAAAAACAAGCATCATAATCTCAACTTTTAGCTCTCCTCCAAAAAAGGTCAATAAATTTCTAAATGTATAGGTCCTAACAACCTAGGCAAGAAGAGGCAGAAGCAGGGAGGAGGCTGGATCTTGAGATCATAACTTGTGGGCTGAAAAGAGAAAGAGGAGCTGAGGTAAGAAATGCTGCAAGGTGAGCAAATCTGGGTTAACTGTGCTGTCACTGCTGCCCTGGAACCTCCACGAGGACAGGTAGAACCTGAGGTCAGAGGAAAAAACATTCAAGGAGAATACCGATAAGTTAGAAGTCCACAGGCCAAATCCACTGCAGTGTGGTGATCCTTACACACACAGAGACAGACACAGGGGATAAAGGAATTTTTCCCATGTAGTAAGACACTCTAAAGTGACAGACACTATAAAGAGATATATAGATACAATAAAGGGATATAGAAAACAGATTTCCTATCTGTTAGAGACTGGAAATGCAATGAATGAATCCAAAGTAATACATATCATCAAAACATACACAATTCGACAAAAAGCCTTCAATTAAATTATCACTTCAAACCAGTCCCCACTAAATACAGCTGACCCCACTGATCCAAACCCAGAGCTGAATATACATCACCTCAGAGAACTCCCTTTTGCATATCCAACTACCAGCTAAGCCAACAGGCCTGCTACCCCTCCCTCCTTCAGAAACTCGGTCACCTAAGTTCAAATGTTCCTTCATTTAAGAGGGTGGGAGACAAGAGAATAACCATCCTTAGAGAGAAAAAGAGACCCATGAGTACAAAGCTAAATTCTGTCCAGTGCCTTCTGCTGGGAATGGGACCCAGGGACAACTTTTTAATATCCATTCATAACAAGCAAGAATAGTCAAGGGAAGCTGGAAAACAAAGAAGAAATGTTAAATATTCACTTTCCATTATTATTTATATTTTGGAAATATAAATTTTATCTCACGAGCACCAATCATGTGATAAAATGTAGTGGGTTTTCTCATGATGGCTTTCCTCCAGGCAGATGAGTTTTACACTCATTTAAAATTAACGATCCCAAGTGTCTTACAACCTAATTTCCTTACTTTGAAGTCAGTACATTCTGAAAGAAAGAAGTTCCAAGGCAGTCAAGTGGAAAGGAATGAAGAGCCGAAATTCCTGGCACAGGCCTACAGTAGAAAAGGCAAATGAGCTGACCAGGGGCGGGGCAGTGACCAAGTGTCCTAACATCACCTACTCATATCTGGAGCCTGGAATGAAAAGCCTGAAGCAGCTTTCTGGAACCAAAAATAATCCAGGGCATGATACGTTTTCTTTTAATTTCCTTGAAGGCAGAACCTACAGAGGGAGGGGGGAAAAAGCAACCCCTAGCCTCATCTCCACCTTGTCCTTGTCCTAAGCTGGACTTTCCTTATGAAGGATGTTGCAGGCCGAGCCGTGCACTACTGACACAAGGCACTGGGGAATTTTCTACCGTTTTTACCAAAAATAAAATTAAAACTCCAGAAGTGACACTGACTCCTGCCTCCAAAATGAATATTTACTTGAGGGTTATTTAATTAAAAGGGGAGAAAAATATCTAGCTCAGCTAAAGTTATTCTATACCCATCACCAACGACAAAGAACTGAATTGGTTCAGGACAGAAATTCTATGCAGGTCAAAGCCCTTTTAAAAACAATTACAATACTCTTCTAACAAAGGAGGAAGGAGTCTGAGTTTACCCTAACTTAGAGGTCTTAGCACTTCTGGAAATGAAAATGCTTTGTACCTAACCCCTTACATTCCCCTCCCTTTCCTTGGTGTTTGAGGCATTTCCTAGGCATTTTGAGGCAATAGTGGACTAAATTATGTCTCTCAGGTGATTCACAGGGTTGTACCTCTCTTCTAAGTAGTAAGCCTCTATTCCTCAGTCATTTTGAAAACCTGGTACATGATCTCCTCAAAAAGCTTGTTTGCCTTTCAATGAGGATGTAAACTCACCCCCCCCCCCGCCCCCAACAGGAAAGGATCCTAGCATAGAACTGCAGCCACAAACTACAAGGATCAGGTTCTTCGAGGTTCTCTGGATGGATTTGGTTTCCCTAGAAGACCTTGTTTCCCATCTCCCATTTTAAGGAAGATCTTCTTTATTAATCCCCTGCTCACTAGAGATCACGAACCCCAGTGGGTAGAATGTTCAGCTCCCAAGGAAGGTATGCTGCAGAGGCACATGGCAAACTGCTTAAAAGATAAAAAACTTGTGGTCAATAGACATGTGGAAGAGTCCCTCCCATCCAATCCAGAAGTTTAAGTAGTAATTGGAGAATCCGTACCCAGTAGAAAATTAGCCCATAAGTCTCACCCAAGTCACCACAGGATGGTTGTACAAAACGGCTTTCCAATTCTGCCTAGAAGCTCCACGCTTCAATGTAGGACTTAAAAAAATGAAAAGTATATGGAGAGTCTGATAAAGATCTGACTTGGAAAAAGTTGGAAGAAAGATAAGAAAGGGACAGGACACCCAATACCCCCCTCAGATAGGGCATGGCTTTCGAACATGCACCCATTGCTACAGCACTGCCCGAGTTGAAAAATGAAGAGGACATTATTTCCCCATTAATGTTTTTTAAGGAATTTCTTTTAGAAGGGAAGGAAAAAGAAATTCAAAAAAGGTGGCTCTCTGGAAAAAAGAAATGAAGGTTGTGAAATGTTAATACCAGAAAGGGTTTGCTTACCAGAAACCGTAGCTTGATTCCCCCTGCCTTGAGTTTACAACTGCCGCCTCCTTTCCTAAAGATTCACTTCTCATCCTAGTACCAATGTACAGGAGCTAAGCAACTGGAGAACGTGATACAGCACTGAACACAAAGAGTTTATTCCCAAACCCAGAGGTGGGAATAAGGGCGATTTAGAAGAAAAGTCCTCAAGAACCCACCCTCCCCCAGATTCTCATTATACAAAGCGACCAAATGCAGGAGGCCCAAGGACTGGTTCCTGAGCAGAAATGGGACATTCCAGTGTCATTAGGCCCCATTTGTCTATTCAAGTTATCCTTTCACAAGCTCATGTCTTTCCCCAGTATCCCCAACACACATATATACATACACACACGCTCACACACTCCCCAAAAAGGCTCCCGGTCTTAAAGGATAGTTGGTTTGACGGGCTTTCCACCCCTGGCAACTGAAGCAGGGAAAACTTCCAAGCAGTTGTGATGAGTGAAAAGAGAAAATAAATGCAACAGGCTCTGATTATTAAACATAAAAACTAGAGCTGCCCAAGGAGATGGACAGCCTCAAGACCTAATTCCTATAAGCTTTTTTCCTTTTAAGATAAAGGCTATAAAATATTCTAAAGAAAATAAGGAAAAAGTCTTTTCCTATCTAGCAGCAGCGTGCACAGGGAAATCAATCCAGAAGGCATCTGCTCAGGGGTGGAGTTTCAAGAGGGTGGAGAGAAGAGGAAGCAAGCTGATTACATCACCTTTCAAGGCTGCTCCTCCCCCTTGACCAAGTTTCTAGGGCGGCCCTAAGCTCTGGATGGCAAAAGGGGGAGAAAAACAACAAAGAAGCAGGGACGCCATTTTGTAATGGAGAAGAGGAAAAGTTAAAAAGCTGTCCGGGCTCTGCCGGGAGCTAGTTACATTAAAAAACACCTTTTTTTAGTAAAAAAACAAAAACCAGCCCCAAATCCTGAATGGTCTGACCTATTTGGAGTCAGTAAGAGCATTGTGAAAATAAAAGCAATTAAAATATTAAAAGAACAATTTTCTGCGGGGAAGAATTGAATTTGCAATTGAGGTTCAACCTGCTACCACCGACCACCCCCATCCTTCCTATAAAGGGAAAGGGGGAGGACTTGGACCCCTCTCATCAAATAGGGTCGAGGTGGGAGGACAGGAGAAAAATGGGTCAACACACAACCTGCGACGCCGCCGCTTGGAAGACAAAAGGACAAGGAAAGTCGCCATATTGAAGCAGGGAAGAAAAAAATTCCTTTTAACGACACAAATCTTTTAGAAAGCTAGCATTCAATTGCACTAAATGGCTTTTAAAATTATTCTCCTGAATTCCACATTTCCCAACCTTTCCACCCGCTATTTAACTGTATCCCCCCACCAAAAAGTATCAAGTTAAAATGTTAACCACTTTTTGCTTTTAAATAACCTACGCAATCTGCAACAATTATAAAACATTCTTTACCTCCCCAAGTATTATCTTGTATGTACTGCCACTAAGATTATATTTTGCCCTGAATTAAGTGTCTTGCAATCTTTATTCCTAGATTGCCACCTATTTTAAGCACACAAATATACCCCAAGCAAATTACATTAAAATTGAGAGGATTTAACAATCATTTTAAGTCATAGCCAGCTATTATTTCTCTCTGCCCATCTCCTTACCCTGCAATCTTTATGTACAGATTGCTTATTAATCTGGCAAATTGAAAGGCGCCCTGCTTGTCTCACACACAAAGAAGTGGGACTTCTGGGCCTCAAGATCCACCATCTTTTGTATGTGAGCTCATTAACCCTTTTGAAGACTGCTAACGAGAGGAAGGTAACCATTCCTCTTTATAAAAAGCAAACACTTATGGCTTTGGCAGTCTGGAAATTGGCTGGATTACCAAGGGTTAACCATCAAAATCCTCACTTGCTGGCCCTCCCTCCACGCTCTCCTTGCCTGCAGCAGGGCAGGAAGAGGTAGGTGGTAGGGGAAAGAGATCAAGACTGTTTAGACCCAAAGGCCCTTTTTAATGGAGATAGAGTGACCGGCTTGGTCCTTCTCCAGTTCTCTATTTTGTTCTACGGTCTCATTTCTTCCTCTCATTATTTTTGGTTTCACAACGGGAAACGTTGATTTCTTGTTGCAAGGCTGGTTTTTGAAAATTCGACACTTACTATCCAATTTTTTTGCGACGTCAGCACCTCGGGCTCAGGGGGAAGGGGATTAAAATTTTGGAGAAAAAAAATAAAACAACCAACCAGGACCCAAAACTCAATTATTTGGGGGCCTCATTGGATCAAAAAGTCTCTTAAAAAAATAAAGGCCAACTCAGTATTCATTTCCCCCCCCACCCAACTCCATTTAGGGAGGGGGGTCGTAGAAAAAAAGTTCTGAGTGGATTCAAAAAAGTAAACGCTGGTTGAGTGAATTTGGGCGGGTTTGGGAAGGGAGGGTGGTTGATTATTTTTGAAGTTATGTGGTGACGGTCCTTCGGCCACAGATTTCAAGTCCCAAGCAGCGTGGGCTGGTGGGGTGGGCAAGATAGATGGGAAGGGGCAGAAGACACAAGTGGTTGGGCTGGTGGCTGCTGTTTTCCCTTTCCCCCCTCTCTCAGGATCCTTTCAAGGGCTTAGATGTTGCTGCGGCTTGTTTCTTTTTTCCTCGCGGGCAGCCTGTCTTTCTCCGAGAAAATTCAAACCTGGGATAAAAGGAACACAAAGGAGAAAGATGTAATCAGTACGGCTTGCTTTTAAACACCCAAAAGTTTCATCTTTGTTATCCCCAAACACCTCCAGATCCCATCACGAACACAGCCGCTTCATATAAATCATGGCTCTCAAATGAACCCATGCCTGACCCGTTTCCCAGCGCAACGCTCTCCGCAAAATCTTACCCCCTAACCGACAGCACACCAAAACTTACCTCTAAACGAACCCCAGAATGGCGGCTGCCCGCTCGGGCGGAGTCTTTTATACCCGGACGCCGCCCAACGCGCCTAAACGTGCTAGTGAAACGCCCTTGTCGCGCGACATTGTGCGCGAGGCGTGAATTCATTGGTCAACGAAAAAGACAACTCTCTAGCTGATTGGCTATCCTTCCTTCGCCTTCGCTCAGCCCCTTCCCCCCAGCACCTTCTTCCGCCTCCTTCCTGGCACCCACCGCGTGCGCGTGATCGCAGAGCCGAGCCCCTCCCTTTCCTCTCCTTCCACCACTTCCGCCCTCGAGACATTGCTCACCCTGGGTTGGTAGAACCGGGCCGGCGCATGCGCACTGAGACGATCTCGGTCCAAATCGCCTTCAAAATTGTTTAAAAGGCAAATTCTAAGAATGAGATCTAAGAGTCATAGTGACCGGTTCAGCAAAAACGCAATTTTGAGGCCGAATTCGATTGTGACGCAGTTGAAATTGGCTTCTGCCCACAGCCCCCCTTCCACGCTTCCGTCCTGACGCAAGTGCGCGGCCTCGCCCCGCACTGCGGGCTTGTCCTTGCCCCTACCCTAGTCAGTTTCCTGGAGCATGCGCAGTCGCCCTTCGGGCCATTCGTGCTTTGGGAGTACGTCAAGATGGCGGCCTCCATATTGAATACGCTTCTGAGGCGCGTCCCTAGCCTTTCGCCCTTCAGAGGCGTCTACGGAGTTCAGGTAACTCCTTGGAGCACGCTTTGTACAACACAAACTTAGTTATTATCTTCTCTAGGTTATCGCTCCACTGCTGGGAATCCAGGAGTGGAGACCTTCCCCAGTGCTTGGGCCTCGGCTGTCTAGGCAACACTTTGCTTCCACCACTCTCTCCCTTTCTCTCACCCTCCTCGATGCTGCGCGCATTTTCTAATCCCGAGCCAAGGGTAAAGAGCCAGGGTTAGATGTCATCTTCTTCCCAAGTTACCATCTCGGCTGAATAACTAGGTGAAAATATGGACCCGTTGGTCATGCACAACCAGCTCTTAAACGTGCAGTTGGTGTCTAAACCTGTGATGTCCTGGAGTGTCCTTGGGTTGAGGGACACGAACTTCTACCAGCCCTGCTATCTCCGAATAAAACCAGGATACATTCTCACGACCTGGGGACCAGTTTCTTAGCTCTCTTTATCTCACTAAGTCACTCTCTTATCCGAGTATCCATGAGAGCTTAACTCAGTCCTTTGGATTGAGGTTTCCCTCCAGTCTCACGTACTCACCACCCTGGAGGTTCTTGGTAGGACAGGGCAGGTTCTTGGTGGGGCAGGGTGAGAAAGGAAGGCTTGCCCACTGCCACTCCCAAAGTGGACTGAAGAGAGGTGACAGGGGTCACCACGGAGTTAATAACAGGCCTGGTAGCTTTAAAGCTGGCGTTAGGACTCAAGTTTGTTCTGCCCTGTGGAATGTTGACCTATTTTTTATAAGACTGGGCAACTCAGTGATTCGGGTTTGAATTGAGTTGAAGACACCCGGCCTCTGTATCCCCTCCCTGCCACACATCTTACCTCCAAGAAGCTAGGCATTCTCCCTTTTGCTCCACTAGACTCAGTTCATCCCCCAAAACATGAATACCTTACATGTGTCAGGTTTTTCAATTGTCTTCTCAAATAAGGTTGTCTCCCAGTCAGTTATCCTAGTTAGCCCTTAACATTAGCTTCTTTTTCAGGATCCAGATAGGGAGAGTGGTCCTTGATGATGTCAATTTAACACTAACAAAAATGCTACCTTCCATGTATATTCCTGCTGTGTTCCATTAACACAATGGGTGTGCATTCCCCTTTGCCCCAAGGTTTAGACAGCAAAACAATCAAGTGCCTTCCTTGAACTTATTCTATTTTTCACACTCTTTTTGTAGGTTCTCCGCCAGACTCTTTGCACCGAAGCTCCCCGTGAGGAAGATTCTGTGTCCCCGGTTCCCATTTCCCCTTACCAGAATGAACCCTGGAAATATCTGGACTCAGAAGGTACCTCTAAATGGGGAAGGGGAGAGTCACATGGGGTCTGAAATAAATGGACAAAGATGCCTTCTCCACCCCCACCCAGGAATTCCTTGTGTGGTCTTTCATTTCAGAATACCAGAACCGCTATGGTTCTCGCCCGGTCTGGGCTGACTACCGCCGCAATCACAAAGGTGGAATACCGCCACAGCGGACACGAAAGACATGCATTGTAAGTTTCTGGGGGTGGCACATGGATGGGATGGGGTGTAGAGGTGGAGGCCATAGTGATAGTGGCAGCAGCACTTTTTCTGACAGAGCTTTGAACATCTTCACCTGCCAGTTTCTTTTCTCTACAGCGTGGAAATAAAGTTGCTGGGAATCCCTGCCCTATCTGCCGGGATCACAAGCTGCATGTCGACTTTAGGGTAAGGAGATGTTTTTCTGCAGGATAAGGATTTGGAGCGTCTTTTCAATGCTGAAGAGATTACGATAGGTGCCCACTCTTCTTCGTATCCTAGTGCCTGTACAATCCATTTTGTACTGACTTTCTGGCAATATAAAAAATCCTTCCTTCCATCCTTTTGTCACCTACTGTGGGTTATACTAAAAAGCTTCATCCTGGGGCCGGCCCAGTGGCGTAGCAGTTAAGTGTGCGCGCTCCGCTGCTGGTGGATGCTAGGTTCGGATCCCAGGCACGCACCGAGGTACTGCTTGTCAGGCCATGCTGTGGTGGCATCCCATATAAAGTAGAGGAAGATAAGCACAGATGTTAGCTCAGGGCCAGTTTTCCTCAGCAAAAAGAAGAGGATTGGCATGGATGTTAGCTCAGGGCTGATCTTCCTCACTAAAAAAGAAAAGAAAAAGCTTCATCCCTTACCTATGGAATTTACAGTCTGAATTGGCAGGCAGGAAAAATGCCTATTTCTAATGGGAAAGCAACGCCCAAAGGTTCATTTATATCCATCACAATTATTAGCAAGTAGATCGGGCTAGTTTTTTCCTGAGGTTTTCTTTTATTTCTTTGTCATATTGATGTTTGTTGTGTCCTGAGACTTGGGGCTGGGGACAGATACATGAAGCAAGGTATAGAGTCTAGGGTTTTTTTCAAAAAGTCTTCATTGTGAGGACAGGACTTGCTCCTTAAAGAATTCAAAAACCTTATAAAAATGATAATGGGAAAAGTGCTCTTCTGAGCACGTAGTGAAGGTGTTAGAGCAGAAGTTGAATGTCTGGTCATCAGGAAAGTTGGAGGGCATGCATGTGTCAGTCGGCCTATGGGGGTGTCTGACTACTCTCAGACCCCTTGGGACACAGGTTGTAGAGAGGTCCAGTAGATAACTTCTCGATTTCAGCTTTGTACGATTTGTTATAAAAAGAGATTATACCCAGTTGAATACAGTTTATAATCAATTGCATAGCCGAGAGAGAAAAAGATTACAACTTGAATAGTGTGGATGATTCTGCCTGCCATTCCACTCCACAAGTATACCTGCTTTTTCCTTGGGTCTCACCTCCTGTAATGAACTTGGTAGCTGAGAGTCATTCTACATAATTAAAACTGTAGAATTGATCCTAATAAATACATATATTACATACAGCATGTTATCATATGTATTAATCATTTATATGTGAACATTACAATAGATACTACATTTTCTGGGTGATTTCAGGAATTGCCAGCTGACTGTCCCCAATTTTTTGCAAGAAGGGCTGATTTTAGATCCTAACCCCTGCAGAAGAGAATTCTATGTGAGTCTCAGTGACAAAATGTAGGATGTACATGTGAAATGGGTGAAAGGCCAGGAAAGGGGGAAAGTTTACTGGAGTTTTCAAGAATGTGTTCAGTCAAGTGATGGGGCTAAAACTGGGAGGTGAAGGAGGGTAGCATCTGGAGAGACATAGAGGGGTTAAGGTCATCGTGTGGGTGTGTAGGGATTGCGCGCTTTCAGTCTCTAAAGGCCTTGCTGGGCCGGCCCCGTGGCTTGGTGGTTAAGTGCGCACGCTCTGCTGCTGGCGGCCCGGGTTCGGATCCCGGGCGTGCACCGACGCACCGCTTCTCTGGCCATGCTGAGGCTATGTCCCACATACAGCAACTGGAGGGATGTGCAACTATGACATACAACTACCTACTGGGGCTTTGGGGGGAAAAACAAATAAATAAATAAAATTATAAAGGCCTTGCTGCTCTCCCCTCCCTCTCTCATGTTTCTCCACTACTCTCCCCCACAGAATGTGAAGCTCTTGGAACAGTTTGTCTGTGCCCACACGGGCATCATCTTCCATGCTCCATACACAGGTTAGCCCATGATCCCTGTCACCACCAGAGTAGCTTTTCCTTGGAGCAGTTCTCATTTATTCCTTCAGACAACAGGTATTTGTTTGGTGGCTCCTACTTATGGCATAAAAAGTGTGATTGAACCTTTTGGAAGTCTGGGCTTAATGGGGATACTCACATGGTAACATGTGGACAAAAGATACAGGCAGGTACAAATGTAAGCAAACGGTCTAACTGTGGCTCTTAAAACATAAATGGTGGTGATTATTTCCTTTCTATAGGATCTCTTCACTTTTACGAAAGGCTTTCTCAAAAACTGACTGTCATATAAGTTCTTTTATACCACTGACAATTCAATTAGATTTCCCAAATTTGGAATTGTAATCTTAACAATTCAAGATCATATCTATTTCTTAACTACGACCACAGGCAGGATCTAGCTCACTCCCATGTCCATTTGTTTTCATATTGTCCAGACTGCCTCCAGGCTACAATGGCAGAGTTGAGTAGCTGAGACTGACTGTAGGACCTGCAGAGCCTAAAATATATGGCCCTACACAGAAAAATTTTGCCAATCTCTGCTCTGAAGCAAGATAAATTTGCAAAGGATAATCTGAATCCACTGTTTGGGGGATGGCAGCATGATCAGTGGAGTTCAGTTTGTTAGGGAATTTTATAGTCAGGCTGTAGAAGGCTGAAGGGACTATTTTGCTGCTCTCTCAGATCGCCTTCCCCAGATCTGAAATCCTGTCTTCCTTTATTGAATCTTTTTCTGTGGGTTTTCTAACTCAACTCTTTAATTAACCACACTTGCCCTTTGAATTATGTTCTGCTCCCTGTCTTGGAGTCTTTACCATTAAATGGCTTCTCTATAGTGGCTAGACCCTCCTAAGTCTTCATCCCAGCTCTCAGAGAGAGAGAGAGGATTCTTCCATTGGGCAGATAGGGAAACTGAGGCCCATGGAGGGGTCAGGAGAATGGAGTCATTAGGTAGAGCCAGGTCTTCCAAATCCAGTGTTCTGTCACCATGTAGAAACACTTGTGTTCTTTATTTACTGTGCCTTATAGAAGGAGCACCGAATCACCTTTTTTCTTCCTATAGGGGTCTGTATGAAGCAGCACAAGATGTTGACCCAGGCCATCCAGAAAGCCAGGGATCATGGTGAGCATGAGAAGGGGCACGGGGCAGTTTTGATAGGCATGGAGAATGCGACTTAGGGCTGGAGGGTGGATAGAAATGCTCTTACCTGTCTGAGAAGGTAACACCCAACATGTTCTTCCCAAGAATCTGTTCTTGCATCACTTCACTGTCCTTTGTTCCCTCTCCTGAGTCTCTTACCTTGTCATTGCCTTGTCCCCTTGTTCTCTTCTTTCCTTTCACCTCCCTCTTATTTTATAACTATTGGTCCCAATGCCATAGCCAGATCATAGGATGATGATCTTTGCATAAATTTCTGGCCCTGGGCTCCATAACACCTTTGCACAAATTAGAAAAAGGTGCCCCTCCACTAGGGCAGATGCAGCTTCATAGCCCTGGTGCAGGGCTGCACAGCTTGGCAAGCAAGAGTCCAGGCAGTATGTCAGCCCACACTTGCCTCTTTGGCCAGTTGCCTTTGTGTAGTGTACAACATGCATAAATGTACACAGTGGCTCAACTGGTCCCTCCCTCCCTTTATAAGTCATTTTCCTTACTGTCTGTCTTAATCTGAACTACTACTCCTTGCTTTCTCTCTTTTTTTTAATACCCTAGGTCTCCTCAAATACCACATTCCTCTGGTTGAACCCCGGGACCTTGACTTCAGTACCTCTCATGGAGCTGTGAGTGCTACTCCACCAGCCCCCACCCTGATTTCAGGTGACCCCTGGTACCCATGGTACAGCTGGAAACAGCCACCAGAGAGAGAGCTGTCCCGCCTTCGCCGGCTCTATCAGGGCCATCTCCGAGAAGAGAGTGGCCCGCCACCTGAGTCAATGCCTGAGGTGCCCCTCACAACCCCAGCTGAAGCCTCCTCCACTGAGCAGGCGGGCCCCCAGAGTGCTCTATAGGAGCTGTAGGCTGGGAAGGGAGTCTGAGGGATTAGGATATAGTGCCTAGGAATTACATGATGAGATTTCACTCTGAAGAGTTGTGTCTATTTTGTGGCCAATGGCAGGCCCGGGGCCAGAGAAGGGAAATGATTGTTGTTGAAGGGGATAAATGCATCTGAGGCTGAGGGAAGGCAGTACAGATGTGCATGAGAAACCCCAACCCCTGTATATTGTAAATAGATGGGCAAAACATTCTGTTGTCTGCCGTCTCTGCTTTTCCACAATAAAGCTGTATCTCCTGTCTCTGGGTTGAGTTTCAGTTTCGTGTTGGGGGGGAATGGGTGCTGCTGTGGGGAAAGGAATGGTCAGGCTTGAGCCAGCCCTGCCAGTGACTCTTGGGACCAGAAGCCACCTGGGATGGGCAGTTGTGCTATTCGGTCATGATCACCTTTGTGGCCCTCTGTGCCCGAAGCAGTGTTTCCACCATACCCAGCTGTTCACTGAGGGGCTGAAGGGCTGGAGAAGGAGACACTAGGCCTAGGAAAAATGCGTTGCTATGGCATCCACTGCCGTGGGAGGCGGGGGTGGGGAGAATGGCGTTGCTAAGGGACAGCTGGGCTGGTGAGAAGAACGGGGTCTCCGGGGTCGGCTGCCAGGACGCTGGCGGGTGGCAAGGGCAGGCGGCCCCCTAGGGGCGGGTCCTGGGCCCCTCGGGGCGCGCCGGGAAATAAAGACTCCGCAGGGCGGGGTGGCGAGGGAGGGGCGGAAGTGACGTCGCGTGGGGCGGGTCCGGCCTCGCACAATGGGCCATGGAGTTCCCGTTCGATGTGGACGCGCTGCTCCCGGAGCGGATCACGGTGCTGGACCAGCACCTGCGGCCCCCGGCCCGCCGACCCGGAACCACAACGCCGGCCCGGTGACATCTCAAACCCACCCCGTGGCCCTTCTCTCCCGGTTCCTCTCGAAACCTGGTCCAGGCACCACGCCCCCTTCTCACTGACTAGTGGCTGCTCCTTTTGATGTCCTGGCTCGCCCTTTTGGTGACCTTTGACCCTAGACTTAGTGGGTTGATCGGCGCTTGGATCTGTGACCTTTCATCCCGTGGCCCAATATGTGGTCCCAACCAAAGGATGTGGTTGACCGGGCTTCCCCACAATAACCTTAAGGGAGGAGGGAATGTACCACATTGAAAGGAGGTGTGGCAAAAGTTTGGGTTCCAGAGGGGTGGGGTGGAAAATCAGAGTGGAAGACTCCAAAGTAAAGCCAGAGAGTCTTAAGGGCTAAACCTGGGTTGGGGTTGTGGCCCAGGTTCCCAGGGAGTGATTGCCCAGAACCGTCTAATTCAGTGCGAATTTGACTCTTTATCTGCTTTCTTTCTATAGTGTTGATCTGCAGCAGCAAATTATGACCATTGTAGATGAATTGGGCAAGGCTTCTGCCAAGGTACTGGGGAGTCTTCAGATGGAGTAAAGAGAGGCTTCTCTGGGGACAGTAGACAAGGGAGGCCTGAGTCCTTTGGAAGAGACTTGCAGAAAGTCTGTCTTCACATTCCCACAGGCCCAGCATCTTCCTGCTCCCATCACCAGTGCATCGAGGATGCAGAGTAACCGCCATGTGATGTATGTGCTCAAAGACACTTCAGCTCGACCGTGAGTGGCAAACGCTCTTCTTAAGTCTCGTACTTAATTCCTTCCTCTCACAGCCCCTCTTCCTTTTTTTTGACTCTGCCTCTTCCAGATAACTGCTGCTAGCTTGTTCATTATTTTTCCCATCCTACAGGGCTGGAAAAGGAGCCATTATTGGGTTCCTCAAAGTTGGATATAAGAAACTCTTTGTACTGGTGAGTGTTACTGGAAGCTGAGAGTTCGTATGCCTTGGCTCCTGAGAACAAAATTGCTGGAGGTTGGGAGGTGGCAGCGATGTCTGGGTCCTAAAAGATATTTGTTGTTCTTTACCTCAGGATGATCGTGAGGCTCACAATGAGGTAGAACCGCTTTGCATCCTGGACTTTTACATCCATGAGTCAGTTCAGCGCCATGGCCATGGGCGAGAACTCTTCCAGTATATGTTGCAGGTATCACTTATCTCTTCACTAGTCTGTCCAAAATGGAGATCAAAGGCCCCTTTGCCCTGAGCCCTTCCAGAGGCCCTCTCTCCCACCCTCCCGCCCCCCATATGCTTCTGTTCCCTTCCCAGCTCCTGGGTTTCTTAGGCATGCTCTCCCCATTCCTCCTCCTACCCTGAGTCTCCTATTCCCTGCAGAAGGAGCGAGTTGAACCACACCAACTGGCCATTGACCGACCCTCACAGAAGCTGCTGAAGTTCCTGAATAAACACTACAACCTGGAGACCACAGTCCCACAGGTTAGAGGTTTCAGAGGGTAGATGCCCACTGAGCATTCCCACTGAATTTATTTATTATTTGGGGGCAAAGAAGTGGCACCTTTCAAGCGCTCCTTATTCTCCATTATATAGGATTCATTTTATACAACTAAGCTCTTTCTTTCATTTTTTTTTTTTTTTGTGGTATCATCTCTCATCCCGCAATTCTTTTTTTTTCTTTAAAGATTTTATTTATTTATTTTTTTCCCCTTAAAGCCCCAGTAGATAGTTGTATGTCATAGCTGCACATCCTTCTAGTTGCTGTATGTGGGATGCGGCCTCAGCATGGCCGGAGAAGCGGTGCGTCGGTGAGCGCCTGGGATCCGAACCCCACCTGCCAGCAGCGGAGCGCGCGCACTTAACCGCTAAGCCACAGGGCCGGCCCCATCATCCCGCAACTCTTATCTGTTTTGATTCTTCATCATGGGCTGTTCTATACACCTAATATGTTTGTGCGCCACACATAGCCAGCTCATTTTTACCTCCTTGTTTTCACACAGGCTAGTGCTTAGTCAGTTAACATTTATTAAGGGCCTAGAATAAAATACATTTCCTGTCCTCAGGGAGCTTTGGTCTAATATGGGGAAGGTGGTTTGTTTATAAGTAAATGCAATATAACGTTACTAATGCTATCCATTCATTCAACAAATGCTTATTGAGCACTTGGGACTGTTTTGGGCACTTCACTTAACAAAACAGATCAAAGTCTCTGCCCTTATAGAGCTTATATCCTAGTTGGGGAGACAGACAAACATAAACAAGTATGTACTATGGTTGATGATAAGTGCTCTGGAAAAATGAGAGCCCATGAGAGGACTTGGGAGTGCCATGGTGGGGATAGGAGTTTGTGGATTGCAAGTTTAAATGGGATAAGCAGGGAAGGCCTCACTGAAAAAGTGTCATTTGAGCAATAATTTAAAGGTGGTGTGAATAAGAGCCAACTAATATCTGGAGGGAGAGCATGCCAGGCAGAGGGAATGGCTAGTGCAAAGGCCATGAGGCAGGAGTGTGCCTGGAAGAGTGAGTGAATTGGCTGGTGTGGCTAGAGCAACTGAGTGGGGGAGCGGGAGGTGTGGTAGATGAGATCGGAGCCGTAATGGGGGAGGAAGGACATTTTGAGCCTTATAGGCTATTGCAGAGACTTTGGTTTTTACTCTAAGTGGAAAAAGGAGCACCGTCCTAGGGATCTGAGCAGAGGGATGATATGATCTGACTTAACTTTTAACAAGACCACTTTGTCTGTTAAGAACAGGTAGTAGGAGAGCAAGGGTAGAAGCAAGTAGACTAGTTAGAAGGCAACAATGCTGATGCAAAATGATGGTGGCTCAGACCAGGAAGGTAGCAGTAGAGATGGTAAGGAGTGGTCAAATTTTAAATGTTTTGAAGTTAAAGCAAGTACGATTTCCTGATAGATTGTATGTGGAGAAAAAGAGGGAAAGAGTTAAGAATGATCCCAAAGTTGTTGGCCTGAGCAGCTGGAAGGATGGAGTTGCATTAACTGAGATGGTAGGTGGAGTAGCTTTGGGGGCAATAGTAGGAGTCCATTTTGAATATGCTAATTGGAGATTTCTGTGATGAGTCCAGTTGAGTAGACAGTTGGGTACTTGTGAGGTTCAGGATAGAGAGTTTTCAGCATACACAGGGTATTGACAGCAGTAAAACAGGATGAGATCACCAAGGAGTGAGTACAGAGAGAGAAGTGGTCCAAGGACTTGAGCCCTTGGGCACTCTTTTAAGGGAGGAGAAGAACGAGCAAATGTGGGGACCAAGGAGTGACTAGTGAAGTAGAAAACTTACAAGAAAGGTGACTTGGAAGGCCAATGAAGAAAGTGTCTCTAGGAGGGAGGAGTAGCATACTGAGTCAAATGCTGCTGATCAGTGAGGTAAGAAGAGGTCTGAGAAGTGACTGTTGGATTTAGCTGCCTGAGGCCACTCATGATCCTGCCGAGCAGTTTTGGTGCAGTGGTGGGTAGAAGCCTGGATGGAGTGGGCTTAGGAGATTGAGAAGCTAGGAGCTGGAAACAGCAAGAATAGGCCAGTCTTGGGGCCTGCCCGGTGGTGCAGCAGTTAAGTTCGCATGCCCCACTTGGGTGGCCCAGGGTTTGCAGGTTCAGATCCCAGGCACAGACCGACACACCGCTTGTCAAGCCATGCTGTGGCAGCATCCCATATAAAAGTAGAGGAAGATGGGCACAGATGTTAGCCCAGGGCCATTCTTCCTCACCAAAAAGAGGAGGATCAGCATCAGATGTTAGCTCAGAGCTAATCTTCCTCACCCACACAAAAAAAGAATAGGCCATCTTATAAATGCTGCTTTAAGAGGAACAGAGAAATAGAGCAAGAGCTAGAGAGGGAAGTGGATCAAGAGAGGGTTGATTGTTTTCAGTTGGAGGAACTAAAAACATAAGAATGATTCAGTAGAGAGAAATTTTGATGATGTCAGAGAAAGTGGGGAGAATTGCTGTAGCAGTGTTGTTCAGTGGGTGGGAGGGGTTGGGATTTGATTGACAAGTTAGCTTGGATAGGAGCACGGACAGTTAATCCACTGTAACATGACTTGATTGACGTGCTTACAGAGGAGGCATAAGGATGTGGTGAGCACTACCTTGAGGTCTGGATTGAGTAAAGAAAGACTTGACTTATGTTTATTCTTGAAAGGTGAGTGTTTATCAGGAGAGAGAAGTGGGTGGGCTAAAGTGCTTTTCATGTAGAGGAACCAGCATGAGCAAAGGCAGAGAGGTATTAAACTACCTTTCAGGGCACTGCAAGCAGTTTTGTGTGGCTGAAGTGCTGGGCATGTGCTTGTTGAGGGAGGATGAGGATGGGCTGGTAGACATTACAGCAGGATCAAGACAGGAGATAGGCAGGGTCTACTTAGAATGTCCTCCCACTGTACAGTTCTCCATTAAGAGGCAGCAGAGAGCAGTGGAAGGAGCACAGTATTTGACATCAAATGTATTACCCAGGTGACATGTAAGACTGGAGCCGCATAGAGTGTAAACAATGACAGCGTTTCATGAGCTCTGTGTGCTATCTACATGCATCCTCTCAGTTGATCCTTGTACATCTCTTTGAGGTAGGTGCTATTATTGACCTCGTTTTGGGTTTATACAGATTAGTGACTTGACCAACTTCACACAGCTAATAAGTGGTGGAGTATGAATTTGAATCCATAGGCCACTCTTTTTTTTTGTGTGGTCAGAAAGATTAGCCCTGAGCTAACATCCATTGCCAGTTCTCCTCTTTTATTGCTTGAGGAAGATTGGCCCTGAGCTAACATCTGTGCCCATCTTCCTCTATTTTGTATGTGGGATGCCGCCACAGCATGGCTTGGTGAGTGGTGTAGGTCCATGCCCGGGATCCGAACCTGTGAACCCCAGCCGCTGAAGTGGAGTGTGCTGAACTTAACCACTACACCACCAGGCTGGTTCCCCATAGCACACTCTTAATAACTACACCGTATTCCTGGCTTAAACACTGCAGCTAGAATCAGGAGTCAGGGGCTTGAGGCCCAGCTCTGCCACTTGTAGCTACTTGAGTTTGGGCAAGTCATGTCACAAAGTTTTTTTTACTCTTCTTTAAAATACAATCATGTGGGGCTGGCCCCATGGTGTACCTACCGGTTAAGTGCGCGCGCTCCGCTGCTGGCGGCCCAGGTTCGGATCCCGGGCGCGCACCGAGGCATTGCTTGTCAGGCCATGCTGTGGCGGCATCCCATGTAAAGTGGAGGAAGATGGGCACAGATGTCAGCCCGGGGCCAGTCTTCCTCAGCAAAAAAAAGAGGAGGATTGGCATGGATGTTAGCTCAGGGCTGATCTTCCTCACAAAAAAAAAAAAAAAATTATAAGGGCCCGGCCTCGTGGCGTAGCAGTTAAGTGCTCATGCTCTGCTGCTGGCGGCCCGGGTTCGGATCCCGGGCGCGCACCGATGCACCACTTGTCAAGCCATGCTGTGGTGGCGTCCCATATAAAGTTGCGGAAGATGGGCACGGATGTTAGCCCAAGGTCAGTCTTCCTCAGAAAAAAGAGGAGGATTGGTGTGGATGTTAGCTCAGGGCTGATCTTCCTCACAAAAATAAATAAATAAATAAACAAATAAAAAATACATTACAATCATGCGTCCCATAACAATGTTTCAGTCAGCGACACACCGGATATATGATGGTGGTCCCATAAGATTAGTACCATATAGTCTAGGTGTGTAGTAGGCTATACCATCTCAATTTGTGTAAGTACACTCTATGATGTTTGTACAATGACAAAATTGCCTCACAACGCATTTCTCAGAATGTATCCCTGTCGTTAAGCAACACATGACTGTAGTCACTCCAAAGACTGTTGTGATGGCCAAATTGAATGTGATGATATAATGAAATCACTCTAAAATTATCCATTACTAGTTATCAAAGTGACAGCCTGTCCTTCAGCATGTCTTCTTTGACTAGTCCCACCCATTTGAACCCTACTTAAATCTTAAGTTTTTCTCAGTATTTGTATACTTGAACCATTTGGCCTTGTTCGTGTGTTTTGTTTTGAAGTTTTTGTTTTGACAGTTTTGGAGCCTTATCTTCCCTGATGTTTTGTGCACCATGTCTCCATGAGCCTGGGCCCTGGGAGAACTTAAAAGTAGGGACTGGGTTTTTTGTTTTTGAGATAAAATTCACTATTTTAACTATTTGAAATACACAATTCAGTGGTATTTAGTATATTCACAATGTTGTGCAATTATCACCAAGTCTAATTACAGACCATTTCCATCACCCAGAAAGAAACCCAATACTCATTAAGCAGCCACTCCTTGTTCCCCTTCCCCTAGCCTCTGTCACCTACAAATCTACTCTCTATGGATATGCTTAGTCTGGACATTTTATATAAATGGAATCATAAAATATGTGGCCTTTGTGTTTGGCTTTCACTTTCAAAATGTTCAGGGGGTTCATTCCTGTTGTAGCATGTATCACTACTTGATTCCTTTTTATGGCTGAATAGTATTCCATCATATGGATATACCACATTTATGTTTATCCACTTACCAATGATTGACATTTGGTTGTTTCCACTTTTTGGCTATTGTGAATAACACTGCTATGAACATTCGTGTACAAGATTTTGTTTGCACATATATTTCCAGTTCTCTTGGGTATATACCTAAGAGTAGAATTGCTGGGTCACATGGTAATTCTATGTCTAACTTTTTGAGAAACTGAGAAGCTGTTTTTTCACAATGACTGCAACATTTTATGTCTCTACCAACAATATAAGGATTCCAATTTCTCAGCATCCTCACCAACATTTGTTATTTTTCTTTTTTGTTTTTTGTTATACCCATCATAGTGGGTGTGAAGTGGTATCTCCTTGTGGTTTTGATTTGCGTCTCCCTAATGACTAATGATGTTAAATTAAGCATCTTTTCAAATGTCTGTTGGCCATTTGTATACCTTCTTTGGAGAAATGTTTATTCAAGTCCTATGCCCATTTTTAATTGTGTTCTTTGTTCTTGAGTTGTAAGAGTCCTTTATATATTCTAGATACAACACCCTTATCAGATATGATTTGCAAATATTTTCTCCTATTCTGTGGGTTGTCTTTTCATTTTCTTGATAGTGTCTTTTGAAGCACAAAAGTTTTTACTTTTGATAGAAGTCCAATTTATCTATTTTTTTTCTCTTTGCTTGTGCTTTTGGTGTCATATTTAAGAAACCATTGCCTAACCCAAGGTCATAAAGATTTTCCCCTATATTCCTTCTAAGAGTTTCATAGTTTTAGCTCTTACATTTAGGTCTTTGATCCATTTTTAGTTATTTTTTGCCTATGGTGTGAGGTAGAGGTCCAAATTCATTATCTTGCATGTGGATATTGAGTTGTCCAAGCACCATTTGTTGAAGATACTATTCTTTCCCCATTGAATGGTCCTGGCACCCTTGTTGAAAATCAATTGACCATAGATACATGGGTTTATTTTGGGACTCTATTCATTCCATTGGTCTATATGTCTATCCATATGCCTCTGTCACATCGTTTTGATTACCGTAGCTTTGTAGAAAGTTTTGAAATCAGGAAGTGTGAATCCTCCAATTTTGTTCTTTTTCAAGATTGTTTTGGCTCTTCGAGGTCTTTTGCAGTTCTGTAATCAACTTTAGGATCAGCTTATCAGGGTCTGAGTTTTTGACTGAGTCTGTCAACAAAGACAGGAAGGCTGGCTTTTGTTCCTCCCACTGTGGTTTTTCTAACACAGGGTTCTGTACCCAAGTATGTTCTGAGTGGCTGAATGGACTATATTTCGCTTGTTTCGTCTTATAGGTGAACAACTTTGTGATCTTCGAAGGCTTCTTTGCCCATCAGCATCGTAAGTTTTCTCACCGTGTGTGTGTTGGTCAAGTAGCTGGGGTAAGGGGAAGGAAAGAGGTGGATTCTTGGTCCCACCGCCCCATTCACTGAGGGGCACCACCACTTCCTTCCTCACAGGGGCCCCTGCTCCCTCTCTGAGGGCAACTCGACACTCCCGTGCTGCTGCAGTCGATCCTCTGCCCGCTGGTAAAGCTGCATTGAATGGGCGGAACTGTAGTGCTGTGACGGCTAGTTACTCTGGAGGTCACAGAGAGCACAGTGTGATCTGTGGGCAGTTTGGGAGAATTCCAACACAACCCAAGTCTCCAGCAGTCATTACCTTTTTGCCTTTCCCTTGTGGGACCTCAGTGCATTTCCTACTTGTCAGGACTTTTAACTAAGCAAGCTCATTGGGAGCCTGTTTGATGACAGAGTCTCATCCCTTTATAAACTCCTCAGGTTTCTGTCAGTCAGTGAGGGAGAGTCATCCCTTCCGTTTCCACTCATAGAGTAGCAACATGAAAGGCTCAAAGTTTAAATATTAGTTTTAGAAGGTAATGCTCAGAATTTATAACATTTCCAATCAAATAATGAAATTGATCTGGAGAAACCAAACCTAGGAGGTACTGAAACACTGCCCAGGTTTCCCATTCCATCCTCATACACACACCCTCCCAGGAGTCTAAGCCCACTCCTTCCTCTTCCTCACTGCCTCCCAAAGGTGAGGAAGCACAGCCTTCTGCTGGGTGTGTAGTACATGCTTGCTCAGGAGGGCCCCCTTCCTGAGCTGGCTTTGTGGCTAGCTCTCATCTCCTCCCTAGCCACCACCCAAAGAACAGTCTGTTACCAGTCAGTAGCTTCAACCAGTGTAAGGCACTGGGAGACAATTCATATCCATGACTCGCTTTGGTTTCCAAGGCTTCCCCCATCTGTCTCCTGCTGACTTACAGGCTGTGAGAGGGAGTGAGAGCCAACAAGGATGGTGAGGTCTCAGGTCCACAGGGGAGGGGACCGTGGATAAAGCTTAAGTGGATTCGCTGAGAAGTCTCATCTGCCACATATGATGGAGAACCTCTTGAGAGGGAAAGGGAGGGAGTAGGTAGAGAAGTCAGGAGACAGGAGGCAGAACTTTGGACAATATGTTAGCCTCCCATTTACTCTGGTAACTCCTTTTCAGATGTCTATGTTTTCTCTTCATCCTTTTTTTTTTCCTAATAAAAAAATCTCTTCCCAACTTTGCACCAAAAGGAGAGGTTCTGCCCCGCCCCAACCTCTCCACAGTAATTCCTGATTAACCAAGGGCTTTGTCCGTCTCATCTAGAGGGACCTGGGGTCCTCGTTGGCCCGGCTGGGACCATTCCACTGCCCCCGAATCCCAGGGGGGCCTGACAGCACCCACTGACAGTAAGAGCTCACCTCCCTTGGCCACCCTTGTCCTGCATCTCCCAGGCCCCAGAGCCTCACCCTGGATCTTTTCCCCCTAACTCTGCATTTGGCCTACTCCTTCTGGCTCTCCTTAAAAGTGCTCCAGCATTCCCCCTGAACTCCCTTTTGTTGTGATGGCATTGCCACAGAGCTGCTTCTGCGATGGAGCTGAACTCTCCTTCTCCGGGAGGAAGTGTGGTGTCAGGGAGCAGAGGTTTGGGGTCGTGGGGGGAGTGGCTGGGAGGAGGGGTACAAAGTATGTCTCCTAATGCTTACCTTGCCTGTGTCCTCTCCACTGCCAGCTCCAGCAAGGAAGCTGCCACCCAAGAGAGCAGAGGGAGACATTAAGCCATACTCCTCTAGTGACCGAGAATGTAAGACTGGGGTAGGGTGTCTGGGCCTGGGGGACCTGAACCCAGGGGAAGGATTAGTTCTCTCTACAGGCTCTGGTTTCTTTTTTCGACCCTAATCTTTGCTGTCATGACTCTCCTCCTTCCTTCTCCTTTTTCTTCTTTCTCTCTCTTGTTCTTTATTCTCCCTCTCCCCAGTTCTGAAAGTAGCTGTGGAGCCTCCTTGGCCCCTAAACAGGGCCCCTCGTCGTGCTACACCTCCAGCCCACCCACCCCCCCGCTCCAGCAGCCTGGGAAACTCGCCAGAACGGGGCCCCCTCCGCCCCTTTGTGCCAGAGCAGGAGCTGCTGCGTTCCCTGCGCCTCTGCCCCCCACACCCTACCGCCCGCCTTCTGCTGGCTACTGACCCTGGGGGCAGCCCAGCCCAACGTCGCCGCACCAGGTAATAGAGTTGGAGGGTTAGGGAGCCTCAGGACTGTCAGAGAGGGTGCTAGAAATGGCAGAGGGCAGCTTGAATCCATCAGAGACATGAAACGATAGGATAAGTGGATTGGAAAGTCCTGAAACCTTTCAAGAAAAATATATTGGAAAATATTGTGGGAGTGGTCTAGAAATAAATTACAGTGAAGGAGCTGAACAGGACTTTATATGGAGTCTAGGGACTCTAGTTAAAGTGAGAGTTGGGAGGAAGGGTAAGAAGAACACAGATCCATTTGTTGGGGGGAGACTGAGCCTCTAAGATTGGGGAAATCTTGCTTTAATACTTGCTGGGAAGGGGCAGTATCTCTGACAGTTTAGGGAGCCACTGACCCCAGGTCAGGGCCTGTGTGGCAGGAGCCCATCCCAGCAAGCAGAGTGGGCATCTCCTTTATTTCTCTCCCTAGCTTTTTCTTCACCTCTGACTTCTCTGTTTTTCTCTCTTCCCCATTTTCCCTCTCCCTTCCTCCTGTCCATAACATCCTTCCACAGCTCCCTTCCCCGCTCTGATGAGAGTCGATACTGACAGACAGCTAACCCCCTCCCCTCCCTGGGAGACCTGGGGTGGGCAGAGACCCCTTTCCCTGAAAACCCCAGACCCACTCTTCCATTGCATCCCCCAGGATCTCGTGGAACCTGACAGAATCCACAGGATTCCCTCTTCCCCTTTCCTGGACAGCTGGGTTGTCAGGGTCCCAGATGACCTATACTTTGTAGTTTTTCTTACCATAGAAAACACCCCTTCTCTCCTAACTTGGGCTCTGAACACTCTCCCAATAGACAGCCCGATTCGCTGCCAGACCCCTTGGTTGGGTGGCTCATACTAATTATCCAGAGAAGCACACTCTTGCTTGCTGTCAGATTCTAGAACACTGTGGAAGGTCCAAGGGCCTCCTCTGCCAGGGAAACCTTTTAAGTCTTGTCTATGGAATAATTCACATATTCCCTCTACAGTGTCTGCTGGTGGCTCTAATAGCTGCTTTGTGCTGCCTACCACACTTACCCTTTCAGCCTGCTGATGCCAACCAATGAGCTCTGCTTCAGAGCAGTCCAATTAAGTAGGACAGGGACTTAACAGCTCCCCAAAGGGATCCACTCAACATTGCCAAACTCTTAATTTCCACGTTTTGTGTATGTGTATGTATCGAGGAACCTCCAAGCCAATGTCTGCTTTGGGGCTCTAAAGACTTGCCACACTTCTAGAGACACCACCACCTCCCCCAGATCCAGATTCTATGAAGGAGTTGGTTTCTTGGCAGTAGATCCCAGCAAGGACCCTGGGATCACTCTTAGCCTTGTTTCAGAAGATAAGCCTGAGTCTCAAGGATCTATTAGCTCCTAGAATCCCCTCTCACATCCATCCCTCCCCAGTAGCTAGATGCTGATAATTTCCTGTCTTGTGAGATTGTCTTGAGAAGATGGGGGAACTCTTCCTCTGGCCTTCCTTTCTTCTTTCCTCCATAGCAAGAACCTTCTTCCCTGCTCCATACCCAGGGTATAGAACAAACCCTTTCCCTCGCTACCCTCTGAATGTGTGGTAGATCAGGTACCCCCACTGCCTACTGTGTTCCCCCAAATCCTTGGGAGCAGGATCTCCCTCTCTCCCAACTCACTCCTTTTTCTTCTCCCTCTCAGTGTTTTCTGAATAAAGTGTGAATTCTTTTGTGTTTTTTAAATGGACATTTTCAATGAAAAAAACACCAAAAAAACCTTAAGGTCTCAGCCTCATTTGTGTGTCACCCCTTATTTTCCTGGGATCTCAGGACTTCTGTCCCCCTCATCTTCCTCTGAGATCTGTAGATCTTCCATCAAGGAGTCTCCGAGCTCCCCTTGCAGGATCTGGTGTCTGCCCATCCCCATTTTCATTGGTAGATCTCCTGCGGATTCTGTCTCCTCTCATGTAGTCGCTGGATCCCTTTGTGTAGGCTTCTATATCTACTCCCCCATTCCCTCCAGAAACCTCCAGCTCTCCCCAGTGACTTCTACCCCTCACCCCAGGCCAGCGGTTGCTGAGATGTCAAGATTTACCATCCTCTCTGGGATCCACTTATTAACTGCCTCCCAACTCTTCCCTGGATTCCTCTTCCCACTCTGATTTCCTACCCTCTCTCCCACTAAACCCTTGGATCTCTCTCAAGACAATCCCTTACTGGGTTGAGAGTCTAACACAGACAGTTACCTATCCTCCAAAGGCTCCCTTCCTTTTCCTCCTAAATACGGCCTTGCCACTCCCTATTTGCCTCTGGCCTGAGGTATCCTATAATTAAGGTAACCATGTTTTCCAAACCAAACATCAGGGCACCTGGTCCAACAAATTCTTTTTTGCCTACATGTGAGTCTGTTTTTATGACATGATTTGGATCACATTTAGCCTTACTTTTAACACATTACCTCAACTAGAAATAATAAAGCAACAAATCAGGACTGCTCCAGAAAATCCTGGGGTATAAAATGAGCTCCCTCCACTTTTCTGGGGCACAGCTTAGATTAAACTCCCTTAGGAATGATAATTACCCCCTCCTCTTTGTTCCTTTGCTATTCCTTTTATTCATCTCCTCTGATCCCTCCATACCCACTCATCTTTCATCCTGTAGCCTCCTCCCCATCATCTCCCATTTCTTCTACAGGGGGAGTCCCCCAGGGCTGGTAGCCCAAAGCTGCTGCTACAGCCGCCATGGGGGGTTGAATTCTTCATTCCCCAACACAGGTACGTATTCATCCCTCCTTATCCTCAAATCAAGTAGGCCATATATACTACCTACTCCAGCTTTCCTATCACATGCTTGGTATTTCCACAGGCAACCAAGAATCGAAGCAGGGGGAACAGGAAACAGAGAATAGGTGAGGTCTGAGCCCCTCCCCTATCAGCCTCCCACCACCTGACTCCTTTCCTAACAACACTCTCAGCTACTTCCTCCTCCTAAATGTTACTCTTTGAACTGGACATCAGCTCCTCCCACAAATCCTTCTGCCTAACTTCCTGCAAGCCTCTTTCCCCATAGGTTCAACTCTGGTGCTTCCTTTTGGCACTCTCTGAGGGGTTTCAAATTTGGACATAGCACTAATGGTTCCAGCCTCATATCCCACAGTGTGGCCTCTACAGAAAAGCCAGACAGACCTTGAAGAGTCTATGATCTTAATTCCCACTTTAGTACCCCTATAACCCAGTCTCCGTCTCCCTCCCACCTACCAGGTCTGCCAGTGAGGAGCACGTCTTGTCACAGGATGGGTCTGGGGAGGAACCCACGCACACAGTTCCGCCACAGGCCCAGGCCCCACCAGCCCAGTCCTGGACAATGGGTGGGGACATGTTCAACGCAAGGTTCATTCGAAACTTGCAGGAACGTCGCAGCACTAGGCCTTGGTGACGGCAGCCCCCTCTCACACCTTCAAAGTATTATTTCTCTCGCTACAGGAGATAACCAAAGCCGGCCCTCATAATGGATGTATTCATTCATTCATTCAACAGGCTTTCTTACCAGCGCCAAATCATTTCTATCTTATTTTTAACCAGAACAATAAAAGTATTTATTTTTTATCACGAGAGCTACTGAAAAACTTGATTGTCCTTATTTCAATTTCAATCCCACCCCTCACTCTTGTTGCACCGGGTTCAGCCCCGTCATCGCCTAGTTTTTTGCGCAAGCGCCGCAAGTGAGGGAGCGGTGCTCGGGCCGCTAATTTACTGCGCAAGCGCTCTGAGGCAGCCTCGGATCGGGCGAACGCAGGCGCACTTAATGCAGATCGAGCGCCTCTCCGCCTCCCTGGAACCCGCAGTGCGCAAGCGCGCAACATCTCCGTTTGCCTCCTCTCAGCCCCCTCACCCCCCCCCCCCCCCCCCCCCTTTCCCCTTCAAGAAGCCAGCTCCAGGGCGCGCTCACCCCTGTGAGGAGGCCGGAGGCCGGACTCGGGAGGCGCTCTCTCCACTCCCGGAAGATCATGTACCAGCCCGGCCGGGGGGTGGCGCGGCGTCTCGGTCCCTGCCTCCGTGCCTACCAGGCGCTCCCCCAGGTGAGAGCAGAGTGGAAGCGGGAGGGGAGGAGAGGGGGCGGGGAGAGACCCTCCTCAGAACCGGCGCGTGGGGCGGAGCGCGCGCCCCGTCGGCGCAGGCGCAGTGACGTCCCACCGCCCCTTCCCACCTGTGCCGGGCGGCGCGTGGAGAGGCCCGGGGTCGTGAGCACGCGAGGTTGGCGCTGCTGGCGCTGGCGCCCCGGCCGTCGGTTCTCCCGGGTCTGGGGTGGGCAGGCGGGGCGCGTTCGCGTTTCGCCCGCGTCTCGGCGGTTACCTGTGCCTGGAGGTGATTTGAAGGGCAGGGGGCGGAGAGGTTCGCAGCCCGGCCGCGGCGCCGCCCCGGAGTTCCCTGGTCCAGACCGTACAGATCTGTGGGCCGCGCTCTGCTGCCCGCGCATCTTGCACCCGGATAGCGGTCCCGGCAGGAAGGCTGGCCCGGGTGGACCCGGTTCGGGCCCCTGCGCCCGGGCGGGCAAGATGGCCACGCCCCCGGCGGAGACGGCTCCTCGGGACACCGTCGGGGACAGAGGTACCCGCGCGGCCCGCCCGTCTTCCCGGCAGTAAGACCCCCGGGTGGTTCCTTGGGAGCAGAGGGGCTCGGATCAGGCTTGGCTTTGGGTGACCTCCCCCTCATCACGGTTTCAAATTCAGTAAAGCAGGGAGAATGAAGTCCAGCCTTTTACCGTCTCCTGGGCTTGTTTGTGTCATTAGAGGCCCGAAATGATAATAGCTTACATTTATATACTACTTTATAGGTCGCAACGTTTTATTTACACTTATTATCTCACATAGTTCTCATAATAACTCAGTGTGGCTTCATCATCCTCGTTTATAAGAGGACATTTATAGGAAACTGAGGCATAGGGAATAGGAGTGGCTAAGGTTACATGATAGAATTGGAACTCCATGAAACGTCTCCTAGTTCCAGTTGGATGTTCTTTTCTCTATGCAACGTCTGCCTCACACACTTAATTGTGGAGTCTTGTTACAGGCCACATCATTTCATCTGCAGTACAATAAAACCTGTTATTCATTCATTTGTTTATTCAAATATGTATTCTTGTTATGAGAGGTGGAACTGCCCCTAAACAGTGTTGGAATCTTAAACAAATGTAAAGGTATTTGCTAATGTTTTGGGCAGGTACTTATACCTGTGTCACAGGAAACTTAACCTCCTGTTTTCAGTAGAGATGGAGATGAACCCATCCCATTTTTCCTCTGATTCCATCTCTCCTGTCAGAAGGAGCAAGTGGAATTGGAAGCGTGATAAGGAGCCGAGTTTGGATGAAGGGGCATTAGGTAGCTGAATTCTTATCTTTTTCCCTTTTGTTCTTCCTCCTTAGGACCAGCTTTCCCCACGAGCTCTACCGTTCCCACCCCTTTGGCCCCACTCCACAACAACCATTTCTCCATCTTCTCCGCTCCTCCTCTGGTCTCCACCACCCCTACCTCCTCCCACCCGGCTCCTTCCCCCGGCTCCCCCATTACCTCTCCCTCAGATCCAGGCCCTCAGCTCACCATGGATAGTCCTCCCTCCAGGAAAGGGGGAGGAGGGACCAGGACCTGAGTTGCATAGCGGCTGCCTAGATGGGCTTAGAAGCCTATTTGAGGGACCTCCCTGCCCCTCTCCTGGGGCTTTGATACCTTTCCAAGCCCCTGGGACCGCCTGCCCTTCCCCTGCCACTCCATCAGGAGATCCGAGTATGGAGGAGCACCTGGCTGTCATGTATGAGAGACTGAGACATGAGGTAAGTCAGTTCGAAGTGGCCTTCATCCACAGTGGGAAGGAATATAGGTAATACTTGGAAACAGAGGGTTAGTCAACTGGATTTTTTCTTGGAACTACGAGGCAGGCCTAGAAATATATTAGAAACATTTCCCAAGGAAAAAATGCTCAGTTTGGATTAAGGGATGTTAAACATGGGAGAGATGACTTTTCACTTGGAGGGGAATAAGGAGACAATAAAGATAGAAAACTGAGGGGCCGGCCCCGTGGCTTAGCGGTTAAGTGCGCTCCGCTGCTGGCAGCCCGGGTTCGGATCCTGGGCGCGCACCAACACACTGCTGCTCCGGCCATGCTGAGGCCACGTCCCACATACAGCAACTAGAAGGATGTGCAGCTATGACATACAACTATCTACTGGGGCTTTGGGGGAAAAAAATAAATAAAATTATTAAATAATAATAATAAAGATAGAAAACTGAGAAATAGAATCATCTTTTCTTTCCCACTGGGCTGACGCCTTCTTCTTCCACCTAGCTTCCCAATCTCTTCCTTCACTCCCATGACTACACACTCTATTCATCGGATGTGGAATTCATCAATGAGGTCCTGAACATACGTACCAAGTGAGAATCCAGGCACGGGTAGGGCCTTGGGGAGGAAAAGGACCCAGTACTATATATCTGACCCTTTTCACTTACCAGAGAAGGTGCTAGGCTGCTTCTCACAACTGTTCCCCTTCCTCAGACAGAGGCCAGTTTGGTTTTCTGATTCTGCCATCATGAGATTTCTGTCCCACCCCTTCTTTACAGGGGCAGGACATGGTACATCCTGTCATTGACCCTCTGCCGCTTCCTGGCCTGGAACTATTTTGCACAACTTCGGTTAGAGGTTCTACAGCTGACCCGCCACCCTGAGAATTGGACCCTGCAAGCCCGCTGGCGGCTCGTGGGGCTGCCCATCCACATGCTCTTTCTGCGTTTCTACAAGCGTGACAAGGAAGAGCTTTACCGGTGAGAGAGAAGTGAGAAAGGACCCAGACTACAGTCAATTTGCTAATCTTACTTTTTTAGGAATCTGATGGTCTAGTCTCCCAGACAGTCCTTGATCTACCCTGACTTGAGCGCAGGCTCCTTGGGGGCAGGGATCTTATTTCAGTTTACTTTAATAAAACAGAAATAGGGACTTTGAATATATTAGGAAACCTCTGAACTCAGTTTCTTAACGTGTTACTTGGCACATAGTATGTACTCAAATACTTACTGAACAAATTAAAATTCCTCTCATAAGTTGAGCCTCACAACCTTAGGTAAAGTAGCTGGTAAATTTCTGACATAGAGTAGATTCCCAAGAAATTGTTAGGTGTGGTCCAAACTAGTCGTCCTCAAACTTTGCTGCACAGTGGAATCATGTAAGGATCTTGAAAAAACATTGGTGCCTGGGGGCTGGCCCTGTGGTGTAGCGGTTAAGTGCATGCGCTCCGCTGCTGGTGGGCCGGGTTCAGATCCCGGGTGCACACCAACATAACGCTTGTCAGGCCACACTGTGGCAGCGTCCCACATAAAGTGGAGGAAGATGGGCATGGATGTTCGCTCAGGGCCAGTCTTCCTCAGTAAAAAGGAGGATTGGCATGGATGTTAGCTCAGAGCTGCTCTTATTCACACACACACAAAAAAATTGGTGCCAGACATTCTAATTTAATAGGGACAGGGTGTAACCTGGGCAGCAGGATTTTTTTAAGTTCCTCAGGTGATCTAATATGTAGCAAAGTTTAGGAACTACTAGTTTAAACAAATGCTTGAATTAAACTTTGGGACCAGTCACCTTCTCCCTCAGTAAGCCTTTCTCCCGTCATCAGGACCTATGATGCCTATTCCACCTTCTACCTGAATTCCAACGGCCTCATTTGTCGCCATCACCTAGACAAAGTGAGTCCTAGCACTGGATGGGGGTGGGGTGAGGGGGTAGAACGTCCAGCCAGTTACCATTATTCTCCCTGCAGCTGATGCCTTCACACTCACCCCCAGCGCCTGTGAAGAAGCTGCTAGTGGGAGCCCTGGTGACGCTGGGGCTGTCAGAGCCAGAACCCAACTTACACCTGTGTTCCGAGGCCTGATCCAGGAACTGGGGTGGAGACAGCACTGAAGACTTTGCTACGCACAAGAGAAGGAGGTGGAGGCGGCCAAGAATCTCACGAGTCAGCTTCCTCCCCTCTTCTCTCTCCTTCTTTCCTTTCCATCTCATGCTGTGTAAAGAAAGCTGCTGTGTAATTTAACTTGTAAATAATAAAGTTTAAGTGAATATATGAGAGAATTTCCATGTCACTTTCTCTGGATCCCGAAAGTTCCCACAAGCTTTATTCCAAAAATATTTTTATTAATAGATATTAAATAATGTACAGAAGGAAAAAGAGCTGGTGTCAGGTTCTGTTTATGTCCCCTTCTCTTTACCCTAGCTCTTCTCGTGTCTTGCCTATTTTTTTGGGCATTTTCTTAGCATGGGGATCTTCTAGCTCCTTGGCCTTATAATAGTGGGGAGCCACCTCCAGAAGCCAACTGCTCTCAATCTCCAAAACCTAGAAGGGGAGAGAAAGAGTCAGTAGAGTTCCCTTCTGTGCATCCTAGATTCTAATGTGTTTGTGATCAAAAAAGTTTCTTTTCCCTTTGACTGCAGGGCTAGGGGAAAAGGTGCCTGGCTTTACTACTCTATACCCCAAGGGCAGACATACCTCTACGT